TTTTGTTTCTTTGTTGGGCCTCCCCAGAGGTGTGGGGGGCCACCAGGGCTCACCTGGAAGGACTCCAAAACCCATGAGGTGCCAGGGATTAAACCAGGAGTGCTCAGTACCTATTCCTCAGGGAACTGAACCAGGGTCAGCTGCATGAAAACAAGCACTTAACCCTGAAACTGTCTCTCTTGTCTCAAAATTCTTTTTGAGGAAAAGGTTATTGGGCTAACACCTAGCAGCATTTGATGGCTACTCCCAACTCAATGCTCAGGGTTACTCCCAGAGGGTTACTCCTGGCTCTGAATTCAGGAATTACTCCTGGCAGTGCTCTGGGCACTATGTGGGATGCTGGGAATCGAACCCGGGTCTGCCACGTGCAAGGCAAATGATCTACCTGCTGTGCTATCTCTCCAGCCCCAAACCTGAGTTTGATAGTTCATCTGAACTCTCTTTTTCTCTCTCTTACTACCTAGAATTTTTTTATTATGCTATCTTTCAATTTGTGGAAGTGTTTTTTAGAAAATGGTTGTGATCAGGGATTACTCCTGGCTCTGTTCTCAGAGATCACACCTGGCAGGGCGTGGGGAATCATATGTAGTACCTGGGAATGAACCCAGGTCAGCTGCATATAAGGCAAGCAAATAAACCCTTCAACTATCTCACTGGCGCTTGAGTTTGTGTCAGTAAGTTAGGTCTAATGAGACACTGGAGGATGTCCCAGGGACCTGGAGCCTGACTCAAGTTCATTCTTTCCTCTTGCTACTGTTCCCTATCAGTGCCCAAAAAGATGCAGGGGATGATTAGAAGCCAGGTGAAGTACAGAGATCTTTAAGAAGCAGATGGGAGTGAAAAGAACATCCAAGTGATATTGTTTCCTTCAACAAATATTTATCAGTTCTATCCATATACCAAATGCTGGGATTGGAATGGAGTCTAAAACCAACAGAGAAATGGGGCCCGAGTGATAGCACAGCGAGGAGGGCACTTGCCTTGCATGCTGCCAAGCCGGGGTTCAAGCCCCAGCATCCTTCATGGCTGGTATCCCCTGAGCAGGAGTGACCCAAGAGCAGAGACCCAGGAGTAAGTTCTGAGCACCACCAGGTATGGTCCCCAATCCCACTCCTCCCCACTAATAAAATTAAGTGAACAGAGATAAATGCAGCATCCTTACTGTTTCCAGGGTGAAGAATGGAGTCTGGATGAGAAGTAACATAAGCGGCAGTGAAGACATTTGTTTTAGAGTGAGCGCATATCCCACAGTATTCAGGGCTGACTCCTGACTTAGGGATCAACTCCTGGCAGTGCTGGGAATTGATCTCAGAAAGGAACTCAACAGCCTGTGCTAGGCCAGTGCTCCACCCACTATCTGAGCCACATCCAGGCCCTAGCAACTTCCTTTTGAAGAGGTGTGAAAAATCACTCCTGCAACATACAGTGATATAAAGGAAATTTTTTTCCTCTCATTTTCTTTTTTGTTTGGGAGCCACACCTGAGGGTATTCAGGAGTCCACGTGGTGCCAGGGATAGAAACTGGGTCTGCCAGGTACAAGACAAGCGCCTTATCCGCTGTACTGTATCTTCAGCCCCACCGATAACTTTTTAGAATGGGACGGTGCCAGGCAATGGCCCCTGAATACCTGAGCTAAGTGCGGTCCAGATGCGGGTGAAAGGTGGAAGAGAACAGCCGGGAAAAGGAAAAAGAAACGCTGTAGCTGGTTCGTTCCTTAAACCTGCTCTGGGACTGGAGAGAGAGAACAGAAGCCCATCCAGGCTGAATCCCCGTACCCCTAAAGGCGGAGCCCTGCCTAGGAGTAAGCCCTGAGCACAGCCGGGTGTGGCCCAGAAACAAAAGTAAACAAGCAGAAACATTCTTCTGTTCTCCTTGTGCCTGACATTATCCAAAACCAAAATGAACTATAAACATTCGCTATGTGAACCATACCGCTAGAAAATGGTAAAATAATAATAACCGCGCCTCGGGATTTTTTTTTTCGTGCAGTAGCTGCTAGAGCGTTTGTACGCTCCTATGAGCTCACCGGATGGAATCAAACGTTTGCGCGAGAGCCGAATGTAGCAGCCACGGCACCGGCACCGACACCGACGCCACGGCTCGGAAACAGGAGTCCCCTGTTTACCTGAGACACCCGAGGCCGGGAGGCACGCGCACTCGCCCCAAGCAGAGGTCGCAGCAGAAACGTCCCAAAACCAAATTCCCGGGAGAATCCGAACGTCGTTTCCCTCCGGACCCACTGAACGTGGGGAGGAGCGGCCGGGGCGCACGGCGCGGCGCGGGCGGGAGCGGCGGGGCGCGCGCTGATTGGCCGCGAGCGCCGCGAGCCCCGCCCCCGCCTGCGGCCGTGCGCCCCAGGGGCGTGGCCTGGGGCTCCCGGCAAGGGGAGGTCACTGCCTGTCCTTGGGCGGAGAGGGGAGGTGACACCGGCAGAAGAGGACAGAATGAGGGCCCTGCGGGTGAGGGTCCCCCATCCCGTTCTCGCCCCCCCCATTAGCACCCCTTTCCCTAAACCCCCCAGGGTCTGGGACCTTAGCGTGTGGCTTCAGGGCTCCCGCCGGAGAACACGCAAAGGGGACCCCAACATGGCCCAAGCCCCGGGTTTTAACGTCCCTTCCTCCAGGCTACCCTAACACCCCGAGACCCAGACCCCTAGGGGTTTAACACCCCTTTCTCTCCCGGATTTCTTCGGCAGCCGGGGAGCCCCCTAAGAGGCCCCCTGCAGTCCCGACATGCCCAGGGCCTCTTCCCCACAGTCCCGGAAACCCTCCGCTTAAATGCCACCTCTGGACTCCAGAGCTGCGGAGCACGGGGCCACCTAGGCCTGACCCAGCCTGACGCGGCCTGACCCGGCCTGACCCAGCCAGCCCCTCCAGTCGTTCCTTGGGGCCTCTACCCCAGCAACCCCCAGTCCCCCGGCAATTCTGAACTTCAGAACTTGCCTTTGAGGCACTCCCTAGAAACAGGAAGGAAGGTCCTCGGGGCGGCAGAGCCTCGAGTAGCCCCAGCCCCAACTCTCTTGCACCCACTTGGGGGCGCCCTCCAGACACCCCACCACCACCACCACCCCCAGCCCCCTTCCCTACCCAACACCCTTCCCTATCCATCCACCTGCTCTTCCCAGATCTCCCAGGCACTGGTTCGTGGCTTCAGCAACAGCGCCCGAAACCGCTTCGAAAACAGAGTGGCAGAGAAACAGAAACTCTTCCAGGTAAAGCCTGTCGAGCAGGCCAGGTCACTGTGTCAGGAGCTGGGGTGGGAGTGGGGATGGGGAAGGAGCAGTGAGGATTCTCATCCCATGCCCCTCCACCTAGGAGGACAATGACCTCCCGGTGCACTTGAAAGGCGGGGGCACGGACAGCCTCCTGTACCGACTGACCATGCTGCTGTGCACTGGAGGTGAGTACCCGCCCCGGTCCCTGAGTGGAAGAAAGGATGGCGTTGCCCTGGGCCGGGTCTAGGGAGGGGACTGGGTTTTCTGAGTGGGCTGGGGACAGGGGACCTGGTACTGGAGCTAGGGAGAGAGGGGCATATAGGGAAGGTGTCCCTCTCAGACTTGTACTTTGGGGGGTACAGAGTAGAGTTGGGTGAAAGCTGCTGCTTGGGCTGAATCAGGATTGAGGACCCCCCAGCTAGGGTGCACTCTGGCACTGGAGCTGGTGGCCTCGCTGGGACTGGGGTCAGGCTGATGATTGGGGATCCTGCAGAGGGGCTTGAAAGGGAGCTGGGATCTTACAGTGTACCCCCCACTCTCCCCAGGTACTGCCTACTGCCTGTACTGCCTTGGCTGGGCCTCCTTCCCCCACAAGAAAGAGTGAGTGAGAACCAGGAGCCTGCAGGAGCCGAGGACAAAATGAGCCCGCGTGCAGGCCCCGCCCGGCATGGATGAGGCCCTGCATTCCACCCCCAGCACCCCAAAAATAAATAAATGTGCTGGCCCCTCAGGAACCCAGCCTACCTCTGGCCTGTGTGTGCACACCCCTAACCCAGCTTTCGCCAGCTGCCCCTCAAGCTAGACCAGGTCTATGTCTAGGATGTTGCTGTCTTCTAGCCCTCCCAGAGAAGCGGGGATCCCCAAATGGAACCCCGGGCTGCCCCTCAGGGGCTGGGGACCTGGGGGTGGGGTCCTCCTGTGGGACCGGGGTTGTATCCTGGAATGGCAAGGAATGTCCATGATATGAGAGAGCAAGAGCAAGGCCGGCCTCACCCCAGGACTGAAGCTGAGAGGAGCAGACATGGCTCTGGGGGCTGGGGTGGCACTGAGCCCCCAACCCAGCCCAGCCCAGCCCAGCTCTGAAGCAGCGATCACTCAGGCTCAGCTTCTCCAGAACCTGAGAGAACAAGTAAGAATAAGCTCAACCAGGACCCGGGAAAAGAAAACTGACAGGGAGGGCCGGGAGACGATGCCAAAGGCTGGGGAATGTGCGAGGCCCAGGTCAGTCCCCACGCTCTCGGGTTCCTGAACACTGCTTGGTGTGACTCCAGAGCAAACAGCCAGGATGGACCCCCTAAAACAATACAACAAAATGGAGGGATGAGGGCAGTGGCTAATGCATGAAGGAGGGCCCAAATCCACTCTCTGGACACATGATTTCCCCCAAGCATCACTGGGAACAACCCTCTGAGCACAGTCAGGTGTAGCCCCTGAGCACCACGAGGTGCAGACTCCCAATAAAAGTGAAAAAATGAGAAGAAAACTGTCAAGGAACCGGAGACTGGCAGCTCCAGTTCTGGGGACAGACTCAAACAGACCATCCCTGCACCAGATGCAGACGCTTCTCCAGAGCCCAAGCTACCTCTCAATTCTCCAAATAGGAGGCCTGGGGCTGGAGCGACATTACAACAGGTAGGCGCACGCCTTGGACACAGCCGACCCAGCTCAATCCCCAGCATTCCATATGGTCCCCAAAGTCCCCCAGGATAAGCCCTGACCACTACCGAGTGTGGCCCACAAACAAAAAACCCAAACAGACAGACAAAAATAGGCAGATCCCAGAAAGAGCAGCAACTGGGGTGCATTTATTTCTTCCTGCACCTGGCAGGCCGGAGCAGAATACAAAGGCACTGGGGCGCTGAGCTGCCTGGGATTGGGTGTGCCAGCGGGTATGGAGTGATCCGCCCAGAACCCACAGAAGGCAGGTAGGCCCGCAGGGTGTGGAAGCCACACAGGGCTGGGCTTGGCACAGGTGCACAGGAAGTTAAGGAAATGGGAGTGAGATGGAGGCATGGGGGTTGGGTGACTGAGTCCAGGCCTGTGTCTCAGGAGGCCAGAGGGTAATCTTGGGGCAGGGCTGGAGGTGGGAAAGGCCGGTGGATCTCAACAGGATCTAGGAAGACGTGGCCACGGACGGGATCAGCTCTGGGAAAGACTGGAAGGGTCCAAGGTGACTCCTACAGCAAGGTGACGCAGAGGCGGGGCTGGGGGGCCCTCTCAGGAATACATGGTCAGCTGCAGCCACTGGGGGAGAGGAAGGCAGATGGTGAGGAGCAGGGAACCTGGGGATATCAGCCCGTTCCTCTGCTCTCACCCGAGGCTGCTGGGAACACTGGACAGAGCCCTTGTTCTGAACTGGTCCACAGGGCAAAGAGGAAGTGGTCCAGCTCAGCACTTGGGGCCCAGGCTGGGGTTTCTTACCTCCTGGATGTTCACCTGGATCTGACCAGTGCCATCTTTGTCCAGAGATTTGAAGGCACCTGGAAGGGCAGGGAAGAGCTGAGGGTTAGGGTGAAAATAAGGTACAAATCTATGGGATAATAATAGCACTGCCACACCCAGCTGTGCTCAGGGGCTGTTCCTGAGACTCTGTGCTCCAGAGTGACCCCTGGTGGTGCCCGGGGGAGCATATGCAGTGCCAGGGATTAACCAGGGTCAGCCAGGAGCGAGCCTTCACCCCTATACCATCTCCCCTGCCCCCAAAGCTACCCCTTTGTTGAGTACTGACTCAGCATGAAGAGCTTCTGATATGCTCATTGGACCTGATTCTGTGAGGCATGTGTCATTTTGAAACAAGGCACAAAGCTACAGCACCCCAAGTCACAGAGCAAGAGAGTGCAGGAACGGGGCCCCAGGCTATGACTCACCAGAGTAAGGGCCTCAAGGTACCCTGCCCATCACCATGTACCCACACCCCAGCCTTGAAGGTCCACCCCAATAGGTTCTTCAGGCTCTCCCTTCCTGTCCCTGCAGTCTGGCCCCACTCCTGGCAAGAGGGTGTGTATGTGTCATAGGGTGCATGTATGTCCCTCATCAGAGAGCAAACAGGGCTGCAGCCTTAGCTTGCTCTTGTCCAGTTACGGCCTCATGGGCCTTACTTGCACACAGTGTCCCAGATACTTCGTGCACTGCAGTTACTACTAGGCCTTTTTGGTTCAAGGGAGCCAGGGGCCCCTCCCAGTGGTACTCAGCAAACCAGGCTGACTTCAACAGCCCTGAAGTACCTGGCAGTGCTCAGGGTTCATAACCACTGTACTGTCCTCCCAGTTGTACTTGGCCCAGAAGCGTGGGCCTGACTGTGAAGTGTTTGGCCTGGCAATGCGACGCTGCCAGGTGCTGGGGGTCAGCAGAGCCACACGGGTGGTGCTGCGAGGCCCAGCCATGCAGTTCCAGGGATCAAGGCATGTGTTCTCTCCCTCTGCCCCAACCACATTATTATTTTTTGTTTTGGGTCACACCCGGCAACACACTCAGGTAACTCCTGGCTCTGTATTCAGGAATCACTCCTGGCTGTGCCTGGGGGACCATACAAGGTGCCAGGGATTTAACCCGGGTCGGCCGCGTGCAAGGCAAGTGCCCTAATATCACACTATGGCTCCAGCCCCATCTTTTATTAACACGTTAATCTTTTATTAACCAGTTCTCCCTGGGCTCTTGGGAATCAGAGCATCTCCTTAAAGTCAAACCAGATCGGGTCTCCCCAGAACCTCCCATGGCTCTCCACAGCCCTCGTGAGAGTCAATACTCCTTCGCTTGGCACTCACTGCCCTGCATGGTCTGACCATGCCCACAGTTCCAGCTTCTCCTACATGATCTCGTAAAGATCCATGCTCCAATTCTGGCACCCCTGTTCCTGCGCTATAAAATGCAGTCTCCTCAGGGAGGTGGTAAGGATTTAACTCATTTATATTCCTAAGAACCTTTATGGTCAGCTCCTGTTTTCCCCTCCCAGCCTTATTGTCTCTCTATCCCGCATTTTCAGTATCTGAACTGAGTTTAAGAAAAATCGAAAGCACCTCTTCCTGGGGCCGGAGTGATAGTCCAGCAGGGAGGGCATTTGCCTTGCATGCAGCCAACCTGGGTTCAATCCCAGGCATCCCATATGGTCTCCCAAGCACCACCAGCTTCCTGAGGGCAGAGCCAGAAGTAACCCCTGAGCATCGCTAGGTGTGACCCAAAAAGCAAAAAAGGGGGGGAAATAAAAAAGCACCTCTTCTTCCTTTCCTGGCCTTTGCTCAGGCTGTCCCCATGATAACAGTTATCTTCACCCTCTTACTGAGCCAAAGCTCATCCCTCTGGTCACAACTCACATATGTCCTCTGCTTCAAATTCCCCATCCCAGCAGGAGTCATTCGAAGTCATCAACTTGCCTCTACTCCACTGAGCCTGAGGTATGGCAGGAACAGGGACTATTCTGGGTCACTGCTTTGCCTCATATTGCCCACCTCATGGTTGGGCTGAAAGACAAGCCTAGTCAGACCCCTAGCTCGGAAGAGAGCTGAAAGAGACTCACGGAACATGGCATCCAGTCTGACGAGACAACTGATGAAATTGTCAAAGTCCATGTTCCCTCCCTCATCTGAGTAGCGGCGGATGATCATGTTGTAGAGATGCTCGTTCAGTTGGAACCCTAAAGGTTTAAACACTCGTGTGGGAGACATGCAAGCCCCTGGCAACCCCAGGATTCGGGTACAGACCTGCTGGGGGTGGGGGAGAGCTGTCTCATCGGTCCCACCACCCACACACCAAAGCCCACCAGTCATACCTGCTGCCTGAAAGGCCCCTGGGAGTTCACTGCTGCTGATGGTCCCCGAACGGTCTACATCAAACTGTTTGTATATGGCCTGTGGGAAATAAGAGGTTGAGACTCCACTGAGCATCAGGAGAGACCATGGCCCCATGCCTTGCAGGTCCTCCAGTTAGTTTTAGAGGTCACCACATACCTGCCACTTTTTGATATTGTTCCACAAGTACTTGAATTCCTCGAAACCCAGCTTGCCTGTGGTGTCACTCTGGAGGGAGTTGGTTAGGAACATTTCTGTGGGAGGCCGGAGTGATAGTATAGTGGGCAGGGCTCTTGTCTTGCACATAGCCAACATGCAATCCCTGGTGCCCCATATGGTCCCTGAGTCCAGCCAGGAGTGACCCCTAAGTACAGAGCCAGCCAGGTGTAAGACCTGAGCACTGCTGGGTGTGGCTTCCCTTCCCCCCTCCAAAATAAAGAAAAGGAATAGTTTTGTAGCTTCAGAACAACGGAACAAACTGGTGCCAATCAGTGTTAAGATCCTCAGCATCATCATCAGTTTTCACTAAATCCTCGAGACATCTACTCTAACACATTATCCCACTCATAGAAAAGGAAAGAGATTGAGAGGGCGAGAGAGACAGTACACTGGTAGGGTGCTTGCCTTGCGTCCCATATGGGACCCTGAATCCACCAAGATTAAACCTTGAGCATAGAGCTTGGAATAAGCCTGGAGAACGGCTGGGTTGGAATGGAGCGACAGCACAGCGGGTAGGGCATTTGCCTTGCACGAAACTGACCCAGCAAACCTGGGTTCAATACCTCTACCCCTCTCAGAGAGACCAGCAAGCTACCGAGAGTATCTCGCCCATACGGCTAAGCCTGGCAAGCTCTCCGTGACGTATTCGATATGCCAAAAACAGTAACAAGATTCACAATGGAGACGTTACTGGGCCCGCTCGAGCAAATCGATGAATAATGAGAAGACAGTGCTACAGTGCAGTGCTACCACTGGGTGTGGCCCCCCAAAAACAAAGACAAAACAGACTGAGCTGAAAAGACTGTGCTGAAAAATCTACCTAAATAAGATCACTGAAAACAGCTAAAACATTACTTACAACATGCTATACACTATGCTAAATTTATGCATGTAGTTCAAATAAGGCACAGTAATTAACAGTCATGCTGATCAGTAAATTGAGAGATGAAAGGCAGATTCAGATTGCTTAACCCTGTACAACATACATATATAATCATATGTCATTTATAAAAGGTAAAGGCCCTCCCGTTGATCGTCGATTTGCTCGAGCGGGCCCAGTAACGTCTCCATTGGAGACTTTGTTGTTACTGTGTCTGGCATATCGAATACTCTCGGTAGCTTGCCGGGCTCTCCGATTGCCCAGTGTTGAGTATATGTGTATACAAGATTATGGGCCGGTCCAGAGATATAATACATTAGGGCAGGTGCATGCCTTGCACCCTGGTTCCATTCCTGGCACTGCATATGGTCCCCTAAGCACCAACAGGAGTGATTCCTGAGTACAGGATCAGGAGTGAGCATTGAGCGGGGCCAGGTGTGGCTCCCAAACAAAACCCTCATAGCCCATGTGCATGTACACATTTATTCTTCAGTATGTGCCTTCATATATATTCATGTCTGTGGGTATGCCTGAGTACATGTACGTTACATAGGGCATACCTATGGAAATTGTAAATCTGGGTTCTCCTTCCAAAAGACCAAGTCCAAATACCTGTCGCTTCTTTAGTCTGTTGTTTTATGGACCACACCTGAAGGTGCTCAGAGGCCTCTATCAGCAGTGCTGGGGGACCAAGTGGTGCTTGGATTTTGAAACCAGCAAGCACTCCAGCCCTCTGAGCCAGCTCCCAGCCCTTACTCATTCATAGCTTCAAAGAGTCTCAATATCCTAGTTCTGTGGAGCATAATAATGGTTGCTGTCAAACAGGATGCTTGTGATGGTACAGTCAGTTCTTATAAATAAAGTGACAGCTGTGAGCACTGATATTTGTTACCACATGCCCATAGGTGGGCATGGCAACCTCTGTGGCTCTCCACCTGGCTATTCCAACCACACTAACAAAGCTTCCTCTTTGGGCAGAGTAACCTGACACACAGGCAATCTGGGTTTGATCCCCAGCACCCCAAAGGGTCCCCTGAACCCCGCCAGAAGTGATCTCTGAACACAGAGCTAGAAGTAAGCTCTGAGCACTGCTGATGTGGGGGAAAAAAAAAAAAAACAGAAGAAAGAGAGGGAAGGAGGGAGGAAGGAAAGAGAAAGAGAAAAAAGGAAAGAGAGAAGAAAAAAGGAAAGAAAGAAAGAAAGAAAGAAAGGTGGGTAGGGTGCTTGCCTCATACGTGGCCAACTGGAGCTCAGTTCCTGGCATCTGATATGGTCCTGAGCCCTGCCAGGGGTAATTTCTGAGTGCAGATACCCCCTGGGTAACGCCAGGTGTAGATCCCCAAAAAATGAACAAAAAAAGGAAAAGAAAGTTCCCTCTTCATCCCAGGCCTCCCTCACACTGCATCCAAGGATACATCCATCACGGCCACCATACTGCGACATGTGTCAATGCCAAAACCATCAGTCTTCAAATCCGGATCTGTGGGAGACAAGTTGAAGGTCAGAAGTCAGAAGTCACAATGACCCCATCCCCCCTGTTGACTCTGGTCACTCACGGCGTGTCACGATCTTGTTGAGAATGTTCATGAGTTCTGTGGCACTGACCTCCATGTCCTGTCGGGAAAGGGAGGCTGAGTCAGGGGTGACATAAAGGAATCCAGGGGTACCATGAAGGAAGATTGGAACTTTGGGATTGCCAAGACTGAGTGGGTGTGTGTAACTGTGTGAAAAAAAGGGTAATTCTGGGAAGGCAAGGAATGGTTGATGGGGTGGGGGGTCCCAGGGTACTTACGTCTCCAGCCAGTTGGGCAAAAAGCCTCCGAAACTGTCGGACCTCCTCACTCTCATTGGCCTCAATGTTGGAGTAATGGGTGCGTGGGGGCTGCAGAGGAAGGAAATCTCTAAGCGGGGGGGAGGGGGGGGGGGAGGGGAGCGGGAGGCACCAGTCTTAGGTGGAGCAGTGAAGGAGGACTGGGGGCGATTGACTACGATGTGGTCAGTGAGTGCGGGGCCAGCTTAAGACTCGGCTACATCAGAGGACTAGCCAGGGTCAGTCTTACTGAAAGGAACAGAGTAAGCGGGAGAGAGGTTTCCCCAAAGGGCCAAGGATGGTGCTGGAAAGTGTCAGTGTGAAGGCGCAGGCTCCTTACCGGGGGCTCTGGATTGTACTGCGCAGCGGCTTCGCTAGAAGGAAAGAAGGAGTTAGCATGAGGGGCGGGGCCTCCAACGGTCAGCGCCGGAGCCCAACCCCCCCCATTCCACCCACCGCCCACGTCACCTGCTCCCAACTTCCGCTTTCCTCCTCGGGTTCTGTCCTCACCTGGACCCAAGGCCCGCTCAGGCCGGGCACTTGTACCCAATGGCAGATGCTTCAGTAGACCCTTCACGGGCTCTCTTCGGAGCAGCTCTGCCAGCTCTCGGCCCCATTCTCCACCAGGCTCTGCTGTCTTACCAACTCGCAGCCCCCATAACGGAGTCTTCCCTACATCCCACCCACTCCAGCTCCAGTGATGAGCCCTTCCAGTAAAGGCGGCTCAATTAGTTGCCAAAGCGATCATCAGGCTCCTCCCTCCATCAGGTCATTCTGCTTTTGGGGTTTTGGGGCTGCACCTAGAGATGCTTAAGGGTTGAGTCCTGGCTCTGTATTCAGGGATCCCTCCTGGCGGCACTAGTGGGGACCAAAGGTAGTGCCAGGGCTTGAAGGGAGGTGAGCCAGGTTCAAGGCAAGCACCTCAGCACCTGAACTCTCTCCAGCCCGATATTTTCTTTATTGTCCAGTCCCTTCAAAGGCCCAGCTTCTTAATCCACCTAAGACGGTGGATTAAGGCACCAGCTCTGCCCTCACTGACCCAGACTCCTAAGGCTACATCCTCTGCACATACTTCTCCAGGGAACGCGGGCTGCACTCATCCTGGTGAGCCTCACCTTCCCGAACCCGCCGGGTCCAATCAGATTGCATGCCCTTCAAGGTCAGCCCTGGACCCCGTCAAACCCCATCCCTGAAACTGCGCCCGTTCAGGCCAGCCTCCTAGGCTAGGAAGACTGACGGCCAAGAGTACCCCGCGTCCAGCCTCCCCTAAAGCCCCGCCCACGCCCCGATGCCCCGCCCAAGACCACGCCCATCAGAGCCACGCCCCCTCCGGCTCCGCCTTACCTGATAGCGCTGATGACCCCGCCCAGGATACGCATGGCAGTGCCGCCGCCGCCGCCGCCGCCGCCGCCGCCTCCACCGCCACCGCCGCCTCCACCGCCACCGCCGCTGATCAGGCCTCCGATCACATTGCCCAGGCCCCCTCCTCCCCCGCCACCGCCCCCACCGCCCGCGGCCCCGCTGATCAGGCCTCCGAGCACATTGCCCAAGCCCCCACCGCCGCCGCCGCCACCGCCGCCGCCGCCGCCCTTCAGGAAGGAGTTAACCAGGAACATGGCTGAGACTCAAGATTCCTAAATGGGGGGAGAAGGGGGTCAGGTGGCCGCCTCGCCTGGCAGCCCACTCCTCCCCTCCAGAGCTGGATTCCTGGGAGCTGGGCGTGGCGCAGTAATTTGAGTTTCCCTAGGAGGCGGGGATCCAAGCCAGGGATGGAGCCTGGAGGGGACATTCCCCATAGGGTCTGGGCATACGGGCAGCAGAGTTGGAGGAATGGAGCGGGGTGGGGGTCGGGGGGAATCTGGTGTGGAATCCCCGCCCAGCTTTAAGTGCCCCCATCGGGTTACAGAAGCTGGATCGAGTCCACGCACAGGTGTCATTAAGGGCAGTGGTCTCAACGTGGAAAAACTCCAGTGGGTGCAAGGCATACTCGGACTTGTGTGGGCGTCCAATCCCGAGATCCAGAACTTCAGAACTGGGCTCTGGGCGGGCCAGAGGTGCGTTCCGGGATTCCAGGCCTGAGCGCCCCGGTCCGGACGTGGGGTTGGGGAATACGGGAGGGCTCCGTGGCGGGGTAATTAATAAAGTCACCCAATCTCACTGGACGTGGGTCTGAGCCCCGGGCCCGGGATTACAATATCCCCGCAGGATCTGAAGCCCCCCCCACCCCAGGGCAGAGTTTGTGAGATGGTTCCCAATCCAGGGGTTCATTTTAGATTCCGAGACTGAGGGCGGAGTCCCGGGGGAGGGATAACGGGGCCGGACCGAGCTCTGGAGGGGCGGTATCTCTCAGGCGGAGAGTTTAGGGTCCCGTCAGATCTGGGGGCCGCCAGGACCGGGTGCAGGGGGCGTCCCTACCGCTTGCCCTGTGGCTCACTTACGCGTCCGCGGGTCCGCCTGTCCGAACTGCTTCGGGACCTCCGACCGCGTCCCGTTCCGCAGGGCGGGGCCGTGACTCAGGCGCTGCGGGGCCTCCCGGACGGGTCCGCGCGGTCCTAATGCCGGCCTGGACACTGCGCCTGCGCGCCGGCATTCTTTTCCAGGACGCGGCCGCCGGGGGCTGCTCCGCCTTGCTGCGTGTCAGGCTCCAGGGCTTCTAATTATGGACCTTACTTAATAGTTCTGAGGTCATCCCACGGTGATTCAATTAAACAATAAATTAATTAAAAAATAATAAAATTAAAAGGCCGGAGTCGTAGTACAGTGGGTAGGAAGTTTTCCTTGCATGCGTGTGGCTGACCCAGGCATCTTACATAGTCCCCGTAGCACTGCTAGGAATAATTTCTGAATGCAGAGCCAGGAGTAACTCCTGAGCACCTCTGGGTGTGGCCCAAAATAATTAAATAAAATTTAATGCAAAATTGGGGCTGGAGTGATAGCACAGCGCGTAGGGCGTTTGCCTTGAATGGGCCGACCCAGGTTCGATTTTCAGCATCCCATATGGTCCCCTGAGCACCGCCAGGAGTAATTCCTGAGTGCAGAGCCAGGAGTAACCCCTGAGCATTGCTGGGTGTGACCCAAAAAAGAAAAAAAAATTAAATGCAAAATCAAAATAGTTCTGGGACTGGAGTGTTAGCACAGCAAGTAGGGTGTTTGCCTTGTACGTGGCCCACCCGGGTTCAACTCCCAGCATCCCATATGGTCCCCTGAGCACCGCCAGGAGTAATTACTAAGTGCACTGAGTGCAAAGCCAGGAGTAACTCCTGAGCATCGCCGGTTGTGACCAAAAAAAGAGGGAAAAAAAAAGCAAAATAGTTGTGAGGTCTCACCCTCCTCCAGGTTGGAGGGAGGAACCCTGGGGACAACTCCCCTGTGACCTGGCAGTGGCCATACCCTATGGTGCCTCTTAGTACAGTCGTGTGAAATTTGGCCCATGACCAGTCTACAAAGCAGTTTTTGGGCCGCTCCAAAAGGGACTCAGCTTTCTAGCCTGAACCAGTCGCCACTCTCATTTCTGATCCCTGGTCCAGAGGCAAGAGCCTCTATCTGTAGCAGATACTGAGGTTGGTAGGTTTTCAAGGATCCTGCAAGCCCCCTATGATAGTCAAACAGGATGGAACTTCACCCCCACCGGGCTCTTTCCTGCCAGCATTCCTTTATCCGCTGAGTCAGAGTCTCAAGGACTTTTCCTGCACTGGCTCTAATGCCTCTTTGTCTTGCTGTCTCCCAAAGGGCTATGGCTTAGGGAGAGTATTCGGGCATGGCTGGCATCTGAGACTAGGTCTGGAGTGGGCAAGTCAGGAAGGCAAAAGCAAGAGACAGAGATTTAAATCATCTTTAGAGGCTTCTAAAATTTGCTTTTTGGTTCCATCATCAGCCCTGCACCCTCCGGATACCAGAGATATGGCAGAGGGCACTAAATGTGGCCCCTGGCCCTCTGCCTTCAAGGCTGACTACGTTGGGGTCAGAATCCTGGCTTACCCCTGAAGCATCATGGCTTGGCAAAACAGTGACTTGAAATCTCTGGGCAATGATTTATCAATCTGGAGAACAAGCACTGGGCTCCCAGGTTCCCCTCACCAGGCCTCTGTCAGAATTAACTGACAGCCAGGATGCTTGAGGGAGAGCGCCTGTCTGGGAAGGAATGAGGCATGTGACATCCGCAGAGCTCCACTGTCCCCACCAGAACGCTGCAGCCAAGGTCCGTGTGCCCCAGTTGCCTTGTGTATGCCACAAGAGGAGGGGCAGAATGAATTGATAAAAACAGTACATTGTCAGTGTCATCCTGTGTCTGTCCCCAGCTGCTTGCTCAGGGACTCTTGGGTGCCTGAATCTGCTTCATCAGATACTGATAAAATAACTTCCAAGGGCCAGAGAGATAGTATAGGCATTAAGGCACTGGTCGCGCCTGCAGCAAATCCTGGTTTGATCCCTGGCACCACAGAGGGTCCACTGAAACATCACCAGGAGTTCCCCTGTGCACAGAGCCAGGAGTGATCCCTGAACTCAGAGCCAGGAGTAAGCCCTGAGCACCACCGGAGTGATCCCTGAGCATAGTTGGGTGTGGCTCAAAAACAAAACCTCCAAGCCCTCTTCTAAATACTGTACATATATCTTCTCATCTGTTCTTATAACAGCCCAGTGGGATGGGCGATGAGTAGTTCCTCCGTTTTACGAAACTGTCCCTGGGGTAAACTTCCTAGCCTGTACCCTTAGCCACCACCCTCCCGTGGATTCCTCCATACTCTGGGAGATTAGCCCAGATAAAACCACAGTCTCTGCTTCCAGCAAGCTTGTTGGGGCCCGGCCAAGGCTGCTGGGACACAGCCTTGTCTATGAGGCAGGAACTTTCGGGTCAGAAAGGAGGCTTTGAAGGCAGGGCAACTTGCCTGGGGTCACAGAGGGTGGCAGGACCAGGTCTAAACCCAGGCATGGCTGGTGCCCAAACTTCAGATGATGACGCATCTGATTTCCTCTCACCACACCCCTTCCTGCCAGGCTGAGCAATTTCTTTGCTCCGTCCCCTCCAGAGATCACTTGTTCTCAGACGTTTGCTTAGGCTCTGCCCTATACCTGGAACACTCCCCACCTGCTCTCTCTCTCTCTCCTCTCTCTCTCTCTCTCTCTCTTTTTCTCTCTCTCTCATTTTTTTTTGTGGCTGTTCAGGCTTTGGGTGTCAGGTCAGAAGGCACCTCTTCCAGGAAGCCTTCTCTATCTTCACCCACACTCAGACTAGATGAGGGGCTGGAGCAATAGTACAGCGGGGAGGACATTTGCCTTTCATGCGGCCAACCTGGGTTGGGTCCCCGACATCCCATATGGTCCCCTGAGCACTGCCAGGAGTGATTTCTGAGTGCAGAGCCAGGAGTAACCCCTGGGCATTGCTGGGTGTGACACAAAACACACCCCCCCTCAAAAAAGACTAGAAGAGGCAGGTGCTCGTGTGTGTAAGAGTGTTTCCCAGAAGTCACTGCCAATTGTACTTAACGGTATCTAGGGCTATCTCCCTGACCTCTTAAACCTGGATAGCTCCAAGCCTTAGCCCTTGGTTCTGCTCAGTTCCATTCCCATCAATCAAGTACCCACTGTACTATATATCTGGAGCCCCAAGGAGATGACTTTTGGGTATTCGTCTCAGGCTATTTCTGTTGCCACAGCATAATATGGCCCTTTCTCACTGATGCATGTGCATGTACCAGTTGTTTTTCTTGCCACAAGGAAAGCAGAGAGTTGGCATGATTCATCTGAGATCGTACAGCAAGGGCAAAGGTCAAATATGAACCTACAGGGGCCAGAGCGCTAGTACAATAGGTAGGGCACTGCCTTGCACGCGGCCAACCAAGGTTTGATCCCTGGAATGCCAGATCCCAAGTCAGCCAGGAGTGATCCCTGCGCACAGAGCCAGAAGTAAACTCTGAGCATTGTCAGATGTGCCCTCCTTCCCCTCCCAACAACAAAAAAAATTGAACCCATAGTATAACAGGTAAGGTGCTTGCCTTGCATGTAGCTGACCTAGGTTCAATTCCTGGTACTCCATATGGTCCCCCTGAGCCTGCCAGGAGTGATCTGTGAGCACAGTGTCAGGAGGAAGCCCTGAGCACAGCCGGGGTGGGGGGGGGGGTGGCATGAAAGAAAAAAATCTGAACCCAGGAAGGCTGGCCTTGTTTTATCTTTTCCTTTGTTGCCAGTAACTTACACTTTTCATCCTTTCAATTTGCTGCCTCAACAATGTTCATGATGCCAACAATTACTAAACTGAAGCCAGTCTCTAACCTTAGCTAAGGCCCCAAGGCCATGCTGGGACCCTGCCAGGCCACTGCTTTGCATGCCGGCCCAGGTGAACTCACCTGCCCTGCCCAAGGGCATGGCAGAACCAGGTCTACAGCTCTTTGTGGATGGTGTGAAATAGTTATGTGATGACTAATTTGGAAATTGTCCTCCACTGCCTTTCAACAGTGAATCAGTCAGTTTGCCAAAGAAACAGCCAGTAGGACAGAGTGAGTGAAAGGAAGAGACTCATTATAGGAAACTGGGACCATGTGATTAGCAATTATGTTCTCTTATGTTCTGTTGGAGTGGGGGTTCACCTGGCAGTGTTTGGGGGATCAGGTGGCCCCAGGGATGGGATCCAAACTTGGGGCTCCTTCAGGCAAGGACTGTGCTCCAACCCCCTGAGCCATCTCCTCAGCCCCCAAAAACTTCTAACCCATGACTCTCATAACAGCTCTCAGTCAGTTGGGTTATGCCTGTCTCCTGCAGCAGACACTAGGCCCTATAATGGCTACTGGGAACCCCTCTGTCCCTAGCCCATGGCGAGGTGGAAGCAGGATCCTGGCCTACATTATCAAATATGTTTTTGGTTTTGTTTTTGTTTTGAGGTCACACTTGGCGATGCTCAACAGTTACTTCCTGATTCTGCATTCAGAAATTACTCCTGGAGGTGCTCAGGGGACCATCTGGATGCTGGGGATCAAACCTGGGTCAGCCACATGCAAGGAAGAAGCCCCACCCACTGTACTATTGCACCAGCCCCTCAAATACTCTTTTATATATATAAAAAAAAAATTGGTTCTTTTGGTCATACCTGAAGTGTTCAGGGTTTTTTTTCCTCCCCTGGATCTGCACTCAGGGATCAATCCTGGTGGACTTGAACCGAGGTCCACGTGCAAGGAAGCGCCCAACTCACTGTACTATCTCTCCGCCCCCTGCTCAAATACTCTTAGCATCTAACTTTATTCCACCTTCAGTCTCTGGAGGTTACTGACTCTGTTGAGACCGCTGTATGGGAAAAAAGCTCTGAGTCTGTGAGTGTGTGGCTGCATCTCCCATGCTTTTCCATGCTTTCCCATCTCTCATGCTCCTGGACCCTTCTCCCCTTGTCTCCAAGTTGTCTGCCTCCTACCTCCTGCCAAAGTTGGTACTTAAATCTGGTCTCAGAGGGTCTTCTGGCCTCCCCTGTCCCCAGCCTGAGCATCCTGATAGCTGCATATTCACTCTATAATAATTCTGTACAGGTGTCCAGAGTAATAGTACAATAGTTAGGGTGCTCGCCTTGCATATAATCTGTAGGGATTCAACGCCTAGAACTACGGCATTAAATGCCTTCAACTATTCCAATGTCACCTGGGTGAGCTCAGGGAGCCACATGCAAGATATTCCTGAGCACAGAGAAATAAGTCCTGAGAAACACCAGGTGTGGCCCCAAAACCAAAAATATAACTAATGGGGGCCAGAGCAATAGTACGGCAGGTAGGGCATTTGCCTTGCATGCAACTGACCTGGGTTTGATTCCTTGACCTCCTGAGCACCGCCAGAAGTAATTCTTGAGTGCAGAGTCAGGAGTAAGCCCTGAGCATCGCCAGGTGTGGACCAAAAGAAAAAAACAACCTTTTTTTTCTTTTGGGGTCACACCCAGCAATGTTCAGGGGTTACTCCTGGCTCTGCAGTCAGGAAGTACTCCTGATGGTGCTTGGGGTACCATATGGGATGCCGGGGATTGAACCCGGGTCGGCCGTGTGCAAGGCAAACTCCCTACCTGCTATATTATTGGCCTCACAAACAAAATTTTTGACAAAGGAGACTGGAGAAATCATATAGAGGTTAAGACACTTTCCTTGCACCCCACTGACTTGGTTTAATCCCCAGAATTCCCTGGGGCCACTTCTTGAGCACAAAGCCAGAAACAGCCCCTGAGCACTGCAGGATATGGCTCCCCCAAAAAAATCTAAAACAAAAATTTTGGCACAGGGTCATGAGAATAGATCAAAGGAGTATGAGATCCCAAATATGATACCTGGCACTCTATGTCCCCATATTCAGCACCACAAGTTATGTCCCTAGTGACCCCTCAGTACTGCCAGAATGGAGCAGCATTGTACCAGGCACTGAGCATTTTCAAAGACCAAGGATGACCAGGAGTCACAAGTCCCGAAGTCAGTTTCCCTGGAAGGTACTAGAAATACACCACTACCCAGGTTGGAGTAGGGAGGATTTTGTACAGCGGGAGGGCATTTGCCTTGCTCGTGGCTGACTGGGATGAGCCTGCCAGGAGTCACTCCTGAGCAGTGCCAGATGTGGCCCCAAAAATAATAAATTTATTTTTTTATTTTTATTTTTTGCTTTTTGGGTCACACCCGGCAATGCACAGGGGTTATTCCTGGCTCTGCACTCAGGAATTACTCCTGGCGACGCTCAGGGGACCGTATGGGATGCTGGGAATCGAACTCAGGTCAACCACGTGCAAGGCAAACGCCCTACCTGCTGTGCTACTGCTCCAGCCCCTAAATTAATTTTTTTAAAAAAAGAAACACAACATTCATTGTCCAGTAAGTGTATTTCTGTGATGTTGGACCTACATCTTTGTTAGTCTTAAAGTCTTGCAGTTTTTGCAAAACATCCAGGGTTTAGAAGAACACAATAAAGTATATCCAAGCCAGAGTGGGAAATCTCACACAAATACCATTGGGAAAAGGAGGGGTCAGTGATGTGGCTCTGCGAGCCCTGGGTTCCATCCCCTACCACCACAGAACCCCACGCGTAGCACCACCAAAAGTGGTCCTGGCCCAAGCACTCTGGGTGTTCCTCTTCCTAATTTTTTTCCCTATTTTTTTTAAGTTAAGTTATAGAGAAGAAAATAATTAATGTAGAAGGGGGAAAGGTATATTTCCCTTTAAGAAGGAGGAAGCCGTGGGCCTGAGCAGATAAGGCACTTGCCGTGCAAATGCAAGTGCTCGACAGAGTTCAGGAATAGGGAAGAAAAAAAAATAACGAAGCGCCCAAACAATCCAACCAGAGGCCGTGCGGAGGGGATTTGGAGTGGTGGTCGTGGCCAGTTGCGGAGGGAAAGCAGCCCATTGCGCTAAAGGGTGCCGAGGGTCCCTCCGTTCTGCGGCTGCCACAACGTTACTTTCGTCCTGGCGAACCCTCCGGGACGCGTCTGACTAGGCCGGGCTCCGCGGCCCCTCCACGGGGTTGCACAATTCTCCGCGGCCGGGCAAGGTGAAGCTGCGGTTGCCGCCCGGGTTTCTGGGAGATGGAGTTTACGCGCCGGGCTGGCGCCACCGCCCGCGCGCAGGGACAACACGCCCTGTAACGAGCCCCGCGCTGCGAACGGAGCAGTGGGCTGCTGCCCCCGCGTGGCGGCTGAGCGTTAGTGCCCGTTTCTGGGACGCTGCGGTCGCTAGGGGGCCGAAGGTGGCAGGGACCGGGAACTTGAGAGTCTCTCCAGGACAGGGGTGACCTGGAGTATTTTTTCTTTTTATCTTCCTCCCCCTTTTTTGGAGGTGGGGTTTGGCTTGGGATCATACCCGGCAGTATTCAAGGGTTACTCCTGGCTCTGTGCTCAGGGATCACTCTTGGTGGAGCTAGGGCGATCATATAAGGTGCCAGGGATCCAACCCAGGTCCACCACACGTGGCCTGGGCAAGTGTCCTACCTGCTGGACTACGTTTCCCCTTGTTTATGAGCTGTTGGGCTGGAACCGGATCTCCAGCATGCAAAGTATGTGCTCACTGAGCAGGTTGAGCTGTATCTCTGGACATCAAGCTATCCTAGCCTTGTCAGGAAAGATGAGGATGGGAGAGAAATGGATTAAGAAACTGGGCGGTGGGCCAGAGCAATAGTACAGCTTGCCTTACAGAGTGCTTGCCTTACACGTGGCCGACCCAGGTTCACTGCCTGGCATCCCATATGGTTCACCTAGCATCACCAGGAGCAACCCCTGAGTATGCAGGGGGTGGCTCCAAAAAACAAAACTGGAAACAAAAAACTGGGGGCAAGGCCCATACTATGAGGGGCCAGTACAGTGTTGGTGCATATGCTCATAAACCAGTATTTACTAAGCTTTTATCTGCTACCTGGCACCAATAGGGTACTTGTAATTAGCTCGATGCACATCAGTTGTTGAGTTCTATTAGCGGCCCATTTTATGGAATGAGGCTCTAACCCAGAAAGTCCGAATACTTAAGTCATCCAGATGGTGAGTATCAGAGCTGGGTTTGATAGATCTCTTGCCTTTTGGGGTTTCTGTTTTGGACCACTTCTGGTGGTGCTCTAGGGTTGCTCTCGGCAGTGCTGGGGGACCATGTGATGCTGGATCAAACAAGGGGAAGCCAGACCTCCTGAGCATGTTCCCGGGGCTCTTCAACTCAGTCTACTGAACCCATCCCAAGGTTGAAACAGGAACCAGCTTGAATGCTTCTGGCTCACCTCCAGGTCAAATGTTGTGGAGTCTGAATCCGTGTTAGAAGTAGAGATCAAGTTCCGGCCTTCACAGGCTCAGGCCTACACAGCCTTGTCTTCTTTTGTTCTTATTTGTCCTCCCATCGCTGCCAGCAACATTATTCCTAAAGAAATGCCAGGCTTGGGGCTGCAGTGATAGTATAGCGGGTAGGATGCTTGCCTGACCTGTGGCTTCCCTGGGCTCCATACCTAGTTCCTATATTGGTTCCCATTGCCTTGCCAGGAGTGACCCCAGGTGCAGAGTCAGAAATGAGCCCTGAGCACTGCCAGGTGTGGCCCTACAAAAAGATAAAATAAAAACATGCTAGTCTTCCTTTCTTTTTTTCAAAAATAAAAAGTTTGGTTTGGGCCACTGTAGATGCTTAGAGGTTACTCTTGACTCTGCAGTCAGGAATCACATCTGGCAGTGCTCAGGGGATTGAGCCCGGGTCTGCTGCATTGCAAGGCAGGTGCCCTACCCACTGTACTATCGTTCTGGCTCCTTCTTCCTTTTTTTCTTCCTCCCCTCCCCCAACCCCCATTATACCCAGCAGTATTCAGGGCTTACTCCTGGCTCTGTGCTCAGGGATCACTCCTAATTGGGATCAGTTAGGGGGCAGTACAGAGCACTGAGGATCAAATCTGGGTCAGCACGGAAAGCACCCACCCTGTGTATTATCTTTCTGGCCCCTCAGTTTTAACTGATTGTTTTTTGGGCCACAACCAGCAGTGCTCAGGGCTGACTCCTGGCTCTGCACTCAGGGGTCATTCCTGGCAGTGTTCAGGGAACTATATTGGGAATCAAACCTGGCTGAATCTAAGGCAAGTACCCTACCTACTGAACTATCTGGTCCTGAGATGTTACTGATAAGATCTTCAACCACAAGGACCATGATACTGAACCCCAGTTGAGGTGCGAATTAGGAGAGGGAAGAGCAACAAGACAAAATGAGCTGGTGGGGTCAGAGAAATAGTACAGCGGGCAGGGCACTTGCCTTGCATGTCTCTGACCCAGGTTTGATCCCTGTCACCCCGTAAGGTCTCACAAGCACCGCCAGGCATAATCCCTGAGCATTAACATGGCTTTACCTGGCAGAGCCAAAAATAAGCCCTGAGCACTGCTGAGTAAGAGCCCCCCCAAATAATAAAATAAAAATAAAATGAGGTGGTCATCTCTAACGGTCATCTCTAAATCTCATTACGTGTCCAGCTGGATGACCGCTGGACTAGAGCAGTTACCGACTGGATTCCACGGGGTGTCAAAAGACCGTGTGGCCACCCACCTTCCAGATGGTCAGACTTCTTCATCAAGATCATGAATGATCGGTTTGAGGCTCTTCATGTTCCAAGAACAAACTGACGCCATTGGATTACACTAGCACGCGACAGGGACAAACGGAGACGTTACTGGCACCCGCTCGAGCAAATCGACGATTAACGGGAAGTCAAGTGATCAAGTGATCAAAATGAGGTGGAGACAGGCCTCTGACATAGGGGTCCCTCTATTAGATCTTGGTGATTACATGAGAGACAAGTAAACTTCCATCTTATTTAAGTCACACCACTCTGCCCTTCACTGCTGGAGCCACAGGTCACTATAGGAAAGACTCAATTTCAAAGAACAGTCTCAGTCTCACGGTTCTGAAGCCCCCAGTGGCCACAAAGCTATGTCTGACCAACATCTCCTGTGCCCGGCCCCTGTTTTCCCACCCCAACTTCCTAATCAGAGTCTCCCGACACTTTGCAGAGAATTTAATGCATAAGTCTTAAAAAAAAAAATCTATAGCAATGAATATGTAAATAAGATAAAACCTAGGAGAGGGAGAGGGCCAAGGACATAGAGGGAGGGAAACTCAGGGACTGACGCCTTGGGCTGTCCGACTGTCACATCTCATCCAGCCCGTAGTCCTCTTCAGGGAAGTCCCCGACTGTCACCACCGATGGCTTGACGAAGGCGCCATACTTGGCTTGGCATTCGAAGTAGCGTTTCCCATTCACACTGCAAGGCACAATGGGAGAGGTAGTGATTAGAGGGGGCCCTGCCCCAGAAGCTAGTCCGAGCAGGCTCAGCCATATATGTGCACTTTACATATACGCACACAATTGCACAGAAACACACACACACACACACACTCACGTGCGCACACCACCACCGCCACCACTCCGCTTGGGGATCATTACCTGCCATCGTTCTTCCCTAGCGGCTCATCATAGCGGACGCCAACCCAGTAGCCAGGCTTGAAATCTGTATTTCCTGAGCCAGACAGAATTCAGTGGGTAAGGCCCTTGCTTTGCGTGTGGCCTAGAAGCTTCCATCCCAGGCACCCCATATGGACCCCTGAGCCCACCAGTAGTGATTCCGGAATACCACAGGGTGTGGCCCCCAAAACCAAAGGGAGTAAAAAAATAAATCTGTGGTTCCTGACCACAGAAACCTTAGCTTGCAGCTCAGCCCCAAGGTGAGCCTGTCCTACTAGAAACCAGTCCTGCTGCCCACCTCCCCCAGATGGTGCCCATCAATTGTCCAGCAGCCCCCTGCCCCAGTCTCTTTGCTCCTGCCCCCTACTCATTCAATACTAGCAAGTCTTGGTAAAACTCTAAGGGATATGGTATCACGGCCTTGTACTAAATTAGCCTTGTACTAAATCAATGGCTGCCCATGCCATTCAGCATAAAACCCACAGGGGGTGAGGAGATAGTACGGTGGGTAGGGTACTTGCCTTGCACATGGTCAACCCAGGTTCAATATCCCTTGTACCCCATATGCTTCCCTGAGCACTGTCAGGAATAATTCCTATGTGCAGAGCCCTGAACACTGCTGAGTGTGACCCAAAAACCAAAAAATAAATTAATAAACATGTTTCTCAGAAAAAAAACGTGAAAAGACAACCAAACCTCAGGATTGGAGGAAAAATTTGCAGATGATGTATTTGGTAAAGGAACTATTTGGGGCTGGAGAGATATCTCAAAGGGCTGAAGCATGTGACTTGCACAGACAAGGCTCCAGGTTTGGGCTGGTTTGGCTTTTGGTCACACCCAGCGGAACTTGGGGCTTACTCCTGGCTCCAGGGTCAGGGATCACTCCTGATGGAGCTTGGGGGACCATATGGGATGCTGGGGATTGTACCCGAGTCAACTGTGTGCAAGGCACAGTGTCCTACCTGTTGTACTATTACTGCGGCCCATGGGGCCCCAGGTTTGAACCCCCAAACAGTACTAGAGCACCTGAGTCCCACTGGGCAGCCATCAGCTCTCTGGGGAGGTCCCAGAATCAAACTGAATCAAAACAGAAACTGTATTTAGGCAATATAAAGGATTTACAGAATTATAAAACAAACTATATAAAGACAATATAAAGACCTTTGAGAGCAATAGAACAGAAACTGTATTTAGAATACATAAAGAGCCGAAGAAGCGGTAAAGAGGGTAAGGCACTTGCCTGGCATGCAGTTCTGGCAGCTGCTACTCTGGTTGAAATGCTTGGCCCCATAGATGGTCCCTAGAGCACTGCCAGGGTTAGCCCTGAGCGCAGAGCCAAGAACCACTTCTGAGCACTGCTGGGTGTGGCCCAACCCCATTCTTGCAAAATAGAGACACCATAAAGAACTTATAATCTGACTGGGGCTGAGTTTACATGCTCATGTCCTAACAACCCAGCCCCTCATAATGTATTTGGAGACAGGGTCTTTTTAAATTTACTTATTTACTTTTCTGGGTCAGACCTAGCTGTGCTCAAGGGTTCTTCCTGGCTCTGTGCTGGGAAGTAACCTCTGACAATGCTCAGGGGACCCTGGGCAGTAACTAGGGATTGAGCCAGGCCACTGCTTTTTCTCCTGGACTACTGGCCCTTTAAAGAAATGGTGATGGACTCACAGAGGTGGCTTGGCGGTAAAGGCAGCCCTACATGTGGGACACCTGGGTTCCATCCCTGGCACCACAAAGAAATATATAAATCAAGAAAATAAGAGGTCATTCATGCAAATGGATATGCAACTCAATTTCTTTCAAAGGCGTGAGGGTCAGAGCATGGTACGGGAACAACCCAAATGTCTGAGACCAATGAAGAAGCTGTGGTACACTGCTCTGGGCGTTGATTACTTTCTTTGGGCAAGCGAAGCCACTTGAAACTAGCCTGGGCATGCATCTTCCTTCATTCACGCCCCGTAGTTTCCCAACCAATGAACTAGTGAATGAAGAGAAGAACTAAATGAAAGTAGCTTAAAACAAAATTAAAAGAAAAAACAAAAACCAAAAAAAGCTGTGGTGCGTATGCACACAATGGAATACTATGCAGCTGTATGAACTAACTGAATATTTTAATTTGCTGCAATGTGAATGGAACTGGAAGGTATCATGTTAAGTGGAACAGGTCAGAGACAGGACAAATACCGAATGATTTCACCTAAGGAGCAGAGACAAAGCAAAGGAACAGACTGTACTGAAGGATGATAAACCTTTAGCTGTGGATGACAAACCTGAGCTCACCAAGCAGCAAGGAGTGGATGGGAGGCAGTGAAGAGGCAGACTAGAAGGCACAGGGATTGTGGAGGGGCTCTGCCACTTTGGGGATGGGGTGGGGGTGCAGTAACTTTGCATATCAACACCATAAACACTAACATGATTGTAACCATGTTACCTAAACTGTAATTCTAAAAATCGGGGAGCAGCAGATCTCAATAGACATATTCCCCAAAACAATATATCAATGGTCTTTAAGCATATGCAGAGATGCTATCATTAGCCCTCCCAAAGGGCCAACTCAAATCCAAAATGTGCCACTTCAAACCCCTGAGGATGGCCTTTATCAAAAGGACAAAGTGCTGGTAAGGATGAGAAATGGGTTTATATTTGTTTTGTTTTGGGGGCCACACCCAGCGGTGCTCAGAGCTTACTCCTGGCTCTACACTCAAGGATCACTTCTGGTGGGCTCAGGAAACCATATGAGATGCCAAAAAATTGAACTCAGGTTCACCATGTGCAGGGCAAGCTCCCACTCCACTATACAATTCCCCCGGGCCCTGAACTATACATTTTAAAGACATGAGGAGATGGTATGTGAATTTTATCACAAAAGAGTTGTTATCAAACAATTAACAACCCAGTAAGGGCTGGTGAGACAGCACCGGGGTTCAGGTGCTTCCCTTGCATACCACCAACCCCAGTTCAACCCCCAGTACCATCTAAGGTACCCAGAGCACAGAGTAAGCCCTGAGCACACTTGCTGTGGCCCCCAAACCAGCCCCCTCCCCAAATTAAAAATTCAGGGACTGAGAAGCTTAAAGGGTTGAGCTCATGTCTTGCATGCAGAAGACCTACATTCAATCCCTGGCATCATATGGTCCTCCAAGGACTGCCACGAGCAACCCCAGAGCACTGAGTCAAGAGCAGTCTTGAGCACTGCTGGACATGCCCTCCTAAACCCACACTAGTCTGCATTTCTCCCCCCTAGCCCTCCCTGAGACCCCTCCTTAGCTATCACCTCCCCCTCCCTCCCCTCGCTGCTCACTTCTCCATTTTCTTCAGAGACCCTTTCCTCCAGGAAGCCCTCCTGCCCGCCACTTTGCACATGCGAGGCTGCTGCCCTCACTGAGGACTTGTCTGCCTGCTGGACTGGGAGCTCTGGGTGCTGGCTCCCTGACATGGTCGGCTCATGGGCACATACCTACATACATGACGGTGCCCCGCCGCGGGGGGTGCCCAAGCACCTGCACCTCACAGCGGCTGCCCACAGGGATGGTGCTGGCCTGGGCCTTCTCCGCGGCCAGGCGCTGGACAGCCTCAGCTTCCCGCTGTGCCCGCTCCTCTTCGTTATATCGGCCCAGTTTGCTGCGCTTCAGGAAGGAGCGAACTGAATCTGGGGGAACAGGGGACCCACAGACGGAGTCAGATATGGTTCTCGGGGTACAGATGGAGATGACCTTTCACCCATGCAGGATCAACACTCAGAAATGTTTAAGCTCTGGGCTTCACAGGGCTGTGACCAAGCACACACCTGCCCCCTCTGCTCCCCAACCTTCCTGCTGCAGCCCTGGCCTCTCCCCAGAACCTTGGGACCCCCCACAACCCAGCAATGAAGCAGAAGGCGTGGGGCCTGGCCTTCTCCTTACCGCACCTTCCTACACCCTGGTCCAGCCCCGAGGCCCCCTAGTCTTGCACACTACATGCTCTGGTCTGTCTCCAGGTTCCTGCACTGACCCCCATACCCTGTCCCCTCCACACACTTTCCTCACCTCCTTTCTGAAACCCTAGTAACTTACCACAACCCTTGCTCAGGTCCCTCCATTTTTCCATGGGTCTGTCTGCCTCTACTTGTCTGAGAATCTCTCCTGGCCTGTCTGCTCCCCAAGCCCCCTGCATCCCAACTCCCATGGGGCCACGCCCAGATTGTCTGTCCCGCTGCACACACCACAGATTCCTCCAACGTTGCTCTGCCAGAACCTCAAAACCTTGAACCACAGCACCCGCTCTTCCTGACACCCAGAGCTCCATCCATCCCTGTGCTCTCGCGTACCTTCCCTCTGGTCATAGGCTTCTTGTGACACCTCGTATTTTTCGACCTTGGACACATCTTCATACTCGCCCAGGCGCGCACCACTGTGGTCGATTACCTGTAGCAAGAGGGTGATCAGTGGGGATGCGGGCGTCAGGGTAGAGCGGTGGGTTGAGTTGGGGGTCGGGCAATTAAGTCTCTCCTGGATTTCTTTTGGCCATACCCAGAGGTGCTCAGGGACTAGTCCTGGCTCAGGAGTGACCCCTGGTGGTGCTCAGGGGACCATATGTGGAGCTGAGGATTCAAACATGGGTTGGCTGAATGCAAAGCAAGTGCTTTCACCCCTGTACTATCTCTGTTTCGACAAAAACAGTTCTTTTTTTGGGGGGGTGGGCTGGTACCTGGTAGTGCTCAGGGCCTACGCCCAGCTGTGCTTGAGGGTGGCTTGGCAGTGAGTGGAGGACCCTGCAGTGCTGGACAGGATTTTTCTTGCATGCAAAGTATGTGCTCCAGCCCTTAAGCAACCTCCAAACACATTTCTTCTTTTCGTTTTTTCCTGAGGTTTTGGGCCATACCAAGAGTTGCCTGAGACTTACTCCTGGTTCTGCATTCAAGGATCATTCCTGGTGATGGTCAGGGGCCCATATGTGGTGATAAGATTGAACTCAGGTCAGCTGCATGCAAGGGCCTTACCCTGTGCACTATCTCTCCAGTCCTGAAACACGCTTTTTTTTTTTTTTTGCAACTTGTTGGGAGTGCTCAAGACTTACTCTTGGCTTTGTGCTCAGGAATACTCCTGGCAGGCCCAGGGGACCATATGGGATGCTGGGGATTAAACCCAGGTCAGCTGCATGCAAGTTAAGCACCTTGCCCACTGTGCTATCTCCCTGGCTTCCCTTCACCTTCTCTCTTTGTGTTTTTCAGGTTGCTTTTGGTTTGTTTCTTTGTGGTGGGGGGGTGAGGGGGTAGAGAGAACAATCTGGGGTGACTCAGCTCAGTGTTTGGGGGACCACACGCATGCAAAGCATACACTCAGGCTTCTGAGCTCTCTCCCCACCCCCATCTCCTTCTCTGAAGGACAGAAGCAACAACCTCCTTGGTTGTCCTTCTCCTCTGGCCCTCCAGTCCATCCTCCATGCTCAAGTCTGAGGGGACCTGTGAATACCCCAGTCATACCACCTTATGGCACAGTCCCTGCTGGAGCGGGAGCTCCCCTCCCCCAGGAGCACTCTTTCTCCTTCTTCAGTTCATGCTTCCTGTTCTTCAGGTTTCTCCTCACACAATTCCTTCTCCAGGAAGTCCTCCTAGACCCCCAATGGGTCAGAACCCCCACCAAATAGGATCTCCCAGCAACCTGATCTCCTGCACAATCTTCATTTCACTGACCGTCCACATTCGTTCTGGTGAACAGTAAGCTAACAAAGACCTCATTCACTGCACAGATCTAACACAGACTTTCTCAGCTTGGCTCACAGCAACACTCCTGACATCATAATACAGACGTTCAATGAACAGATACTGATTAACAGAATGAGAGAACCAGCTCTCAGGCTGAGGATGGAGCTCAGTGAGCACGTGTGAGGTCCAGGCTTCAAGCTGTAGCATTTCAGGAAAAAAAAAAAAGTCAGCTCTCTAGCTTTCTGGAGTTACAGCATCTGAAGGAAAAATACAAGCTGTAGAGCCAGAGCAACAGTACAGTGGGTAAGGTGCTTGCCTTGCATGTGGCTGACCTGGGTTGGACCCCTGGCATCCCATATGGGTCCTTGGAACACCACCAGGAGTGATCCCTGAGTCTAGGAGTAAGCCCCGAGCAACACCAGGTGTGGCCCAAAATACAACTGTCACTGTCACTGTCCTCCCGTTGTTCATTGATTTGCTCGAGCGGGCCCAGTAACGTCTCCACTGTGACACTTGTTACTCTGTTTTGGCACATCATATACGTCATGGGTACAACCAAAAAAAAAGAAAAAAAATACTAGCTCTATTGTTCACTCTCAGGAAGGTTAAAAACCTATACTGAAAATCAGCTTCCTGCTCAACAAAACTGGGATCATCATGTCAGCTTCCAAATCTATTTTATGGCCGCTACTCATCACTCAACAATGAATGATTCACTTAGTTCTCTCTGCCAGGCATTGTTTCTTTCTTTCTTTTTTTTGGTTTTTGGGTCACACCCAGCAATGCTCAGGGGTTACTTCTGACTCTGAACTCAGGAATTATTCTGGCGGTGCTTGGGAGACCATATGGGATGCTGGGAATCGAACCGGGATTGGCCTTGTGCAAGGAAAACGCCCTACCTGCTGTACTATTGCTCTAGCCCCCAGGCACTGTTATTTTTTTCTTTGCCCATACAGCGGTGCTCAGGAATCATTCCTGGTGGGCTTGGGGGACATAAGTGGTGCTAGGGATTAAGCCCATGTAAGCGGCATGCAGAGCAAACACTCTGCCCACTGTACTACTGCTGAAGCCCCTGTGCTAGACATTGTCTCTGGGGACAAAAATGCAGTATGTCACAGGGTAATAATAGCTAAGCACAAAAATCAAAGCAGGAAAGAGTGGAGTTTCCAATTGCATCTTTGTCAAGCAGGCCTTGCCCATGGAAAGTTACAATTCACCAAAGATTGGAGGGAAGGAGGGAGACCTGTGGGTCTATAAAAAAGAACCATTTACAGGACCAGAGAGACAGTGTAACAGGTTATGTTCTGCATATGGGTTCAATCCCTATGGTCCTCCATGATGTGGCCCCCTAAACAAAACAGATTGAAAAGAACACTGACAGAATGCACCCCCAGCACCACAGGAAAGAACCAGTCAGGCATGGGGATAACACATGCAAAGGCCCTGAGGTGAAAGGATTTTGGGATGTCTAAGAAATGGAGGAGAAAGAGAAAAGCAGGATGTCTTGAACTGAGAAACACCAAGGCCTTCTGTCTTCTGGCTTTGCTTAGCACATCCACCTTTACCGACCTCACACTCTGGGCCTCTGCATCCATATTCCCTCACCTCACACACACCTGCACCCTCGCCTCATCCTGCGGGCCTCAGCTCAGGCTTCTTTCTTTCTTTCTTTTTTTTGCTTTTTGGGTCACACCCTACGATGCACAGGGGTTACTCCTGGCTCTGCACTCAGGAGTTACTCCTGGCGGTGCTCAGGGAACCATATGGGATGCTGGGAATCGAACCTAGGTCGGCCACGTGCAAGGCAAGCGCCCTACCCGCTGTGCTATTGCTCCAGCCCCCTAGCTCAGGCTTCTTTCACCCACCCAGCCCTGCCCCGTGCACAACCGGCAACTCGTCAGGTGCCGGAGTCTTTCCCTAGACAGTCTAGAACATGCTGCTGTCACTCTGGTAATGGGTTTATCTCTCTCCATCCTGGACTTGTGGGGCAGGATCTATCTTGGTTATCACAACTAGTAAAGGGCAGCAAGCATTTGCTGAATGAAAAGGAAGGGCAGGGATAGGATCTCCGTCAGGGGAAGCCTCACGTGGATGCGGCAGCCGTCGTCTACCGGGTATGAGCCCAACAGCGCATCCTCTCGATCCAGCTTGCCCAAGAACTTGTCGTCAACTCCATACAGCTCCAGTTCCATACAAGAGGCAGGGCTGCCCACCACCAGCTCCAATTTACACTGAGCGGTTAGGGCAGGAGATGGGGTGGGGGAGAAAATCTGTAAGTGGGCCCGTCCTCTGACCTGAGTCTCGTCCCTTGTATCAAAGCATCAACCAGGAGGGTATACCATCATCAAAGACTCCCCCCCGTATCTCTCGGGCCCAGACCCTCGCTGGTCCCGCCCCCTTGGCTACAGCACCTGGCTCCCACTGGCCCCGCCCCTCCGAGGCCCCAGGCCCAATCGCCACCATCTCGGATTTACCCGAGGCCCCGCCCCCACTGGGAAAGCCGCTCCATCTTTCTCCTGCCCCGCCCCCTCAAGCCCGCGTCCCGCCTCCCCGGATCACGCCCCCACGGCCACACCTTGAACTCGGCTATCGTGAGGCTGCGGTTATACCGCTTTTCGGAGCGAAAGCTGTTGAGAGAGCTGCTGATGAAAACGGTGACCGTAGGCGCCGACACCCCCGCTAACTCCATCTCGCCGCGCCCTGCCGGGACCCAAAGCCCAGTCAGCCGCCTGACGCCGGTTCCACCGCCGCCGCCGCTGCTTCTGGGATATTAGTCCCGCCCCTCAGCCCGGCCTGGCCAATGCACGCGCTCCCGTGGAGAGCGCCCACCAATCGGCGCTGTCGCTCCTCCACCGCCGGGCTCTCCAGAATTCCTCAGCAGGCCCAGCCAATCCTGAGAGGCCCTCCAGGGCGCACAGCTCTTCCAATAGCGTTACTGGGGACGACCAGGGCGGGCGAAGACTGAAGCCGAGAGCAAGGACTGGCAAACGCTCCCCGGCCGCAGAGCGGAAATGCGCATGTGCACTCTTCGGCGTGCGAGAGAGCAATGGCTTCTTGCCTTTACGCCGACTGCCTTGCGAATTTCGTTAGATCGCGTACTCCCGGCCTTCGCGCCGTGTTATTCTGTAAACTGGAGCGGCAAGGCCCAGAAGTTATAACTGATTACTTTAGTATATGAAGGAGGGATCGATGAAAATAATGAATCAAAACGGCCCAGAGAGCCGGGCGTGAAACCGCTACGAACTAGAACGTGTGCGCAACTCCGCCCTCTTTTGGCGAAGCTGCTTGGCCTGACCCTTCCCGCGACCGGTCGCGCGGCAGAGCAAGCGCGTTCCGCTTGGCGGGCGGAACGTCGCTATGGAACCGGACGGGACCTACGAGCCCGGTTTCGTGGGTATCCGGTTCTGCCAAGAATGGTGAGGCCTGGGAAGCGGGTGTAAAAAGGGGAGTGAGTAACTGGCCCCTGGATTGACCTCTGACCCTCCTCCCCACAGCAACAACATGCTTTACCCCAAGGAAGACAAGGAGAACCGCATTCTGCTCTACGCGGTGAGTGCGGTCCCGCGGGGCGCCGGGAGAGCGTCTCCCCCGACCCTTCATTGCCAGACCAGCACGGACTCCCTCAGCCCACTCTACGTTTCCCCGACTCATTCCACCCTCGATTCGGCGGGTCTTGGCCCCGATTTTCCCGCCAGGAGGACCCGACACACCGTTTTTCCCTAGCCCCTTAGGGGAGGGTCCTGCTTGCCCATTCCGCCCCATCGGGGGTCTCCCGTGACCCCCACCCTCGTTCTCTTGCAGTGCCGGAATTGCGATTACCAGCAGGAAGCCGATAATAGCTGCATCTACGTCAACAAAATCACGCACGAAGTGGAGTGAGTGGTGGCACCAGCTCGTGGGAAGAGGGGCGTTGTTGGCTTTCGTGGGGCGGGTCTAATCGAAATGATCCACCCCCCCCCCCTTCCTTCAGCGAACTGACCCAGATTATCGCCGACGTGTCCCAGGACCCCACCTTGCCGCGGACCGAAGACCACCCGTGCCAAAAGTGAGCCGAGATCGTCCCCCCAGTGCTGGAGGAGGTTGGTGGGAGGGGAAAGGGCTCCGGCGGGCTCTGAACGGCCACGGTCCCCGCAGGTGCGGCCACAAGGAGGCGGTGTTTTTCCAGTCGCACAGTGCCCGGGCCGAGGTGAGTGGCGGAAAAGAAAGCGGGAGCCTTGTGGGGGCCGGGGGCGTCAGTATTGGAGGAACGCAGTTCCTGGGCAGGACCTTACCCCGTGGTACACTGGTGGTGACCTCATTCGTAACTGTATCCCCTTTCTGCCAGGACGCAATGCGCCTGTACTACGTGTGCACAGCCCCGCACTGCGGCCACCGCTGGACCGAGTGAGCCCCTACCGCCGCCCCCGCCCCCCGCCCCCCCCCCCACGTGTCATAAATACTCTTTTCTGTTCATGCGTTTCAGGTGTTTATTTCTCTCTCAGGGTGTGACCTGAGTCGGGGCACCGGGCTTCGGTGGCCCGGTGCAGGGAGCGGTGCTGGGCGTAGGCATCGGGCCTGGCACTGGTAAAGCCGCAGTCCTCGCACACGTGCAGCTTCTCCCGCCGCTCGCGGTAGGCATAGCTGGCCGGCTGCCCATGCACCTTGGCCAGATGCGCTTCCAGTGAGCAGCGCTGGGTAAATGCTTTTCCGCAAGCTCCGCAGCGGAACGGTCGGATCCCTGTGCAGAGAGCGAAGAGGACAGAGAGGGCAATGGCCACCAGCCCTTTTGCACCCCCATGAGCATACCCCATCCCTACTTAAAGCTTCCCACCGTTCTCTACCCCACGACCCACCCAGCCAGATCAGATGGGCTAAAATTGCCTGCAGCATGGAGGTGTTATATGTCCCCACCCTCCCCACCAGCTACTTCTTCCATTCGGGTATAGGTGGGCTCTGCTGAACCTGTGTTTTCACTCAACTCCTCTCCAGTCTTTTACCTTCTATTTTTTTGGGGCCGGGGGAAGGGAGGGTCATACCCTGAGATGCTCAGGAGTCACTCCTGGCAGTGCCTGGGGACCATATGGGATCGAATTTAGGTCAGCCAGGGCAAGGCAAGCGCCCTACCCACTGTACTATCACCTCAGCCCTCATTTCCTATCTTCCGTCCGCTCACAGAGACCCAAGTTCCAGGTGTCCCAAGAGCGGAAGCTGCATCCCATGTCACTCCCCGCCCACTCCCAGCCCACTATCACTCACCAGTGTGAGTCCTCATGTGGCGCTTGAGGTCGAAGGCATCGTGGAAGCCTTTGCCACAACAACGGCACACATGGCGGCGTGCAGGACTGTGGCACTTTAGGTGCCGGGTCAGCATGCGCTGCAGTGGGAAGGCCTTGGGGCAGAGGGGGCAACCAAGTGTCCCGGAGACTGTGGACGTGACAGTCAGAGTGCCCTGTGTGGGCTGTGGGAGGGGTGCAGGAATTAGCCTGGCCTGTTGGATCCTTGTTTTGCAAGTCTCTGCGGGACACCCAGAATCCAGGAGGTTTCAGAAGGGCAGAGGCTGCTCTGTGCATGCAGATGCCACTGCCCAAGGGTTCCTTGCTCACACCTACCACCCTTATACAGTTTATCCTGGAACATGGAGTGGCATACCTATATTTATGTGCAACAGATGGCAGAAAATTTGCACGTAACTTACCGGAGGCTCTGGGTACTTGAGGATGAAATTAACTGACGTCCTCAGACAGAAAAACTAACATTTCTAAGTAGACTCACAAAGATCCAAGTTCAAAACCATGTTCAGGGGTCAACTGTATTTCTCCACATACTGCCTGGCAACATCATATGTAGTTTTCTAAGTAGATTGCCTATCCTTTCTATACCCACCAAGATCTGAAAAGTCCAGAAAAAGATTTTGCTTTGCTCCTGCACATCTAGAGGGATTCCAGGTTCTCTGGTTCTGGAATTGACTCTAGCACATTCCTTCTTCCCGGTCAGGTACAACCCAAAGCTTTAAGCAGCCTTCAACTCCAGTCCACTGCCTTTACCTTGTCTGACCCTGACACAAAGCAAATCTCCCTGAGTCCTGTTCTCTTCTGGACAAAGGTCCCAGGAACCAAGACTGCGCCGCCCGCATCCCCAAATAAGGCTTGGATGAGCCCCTAGCTCACTGTTGAGACAGACAAGACACCTCCCCACAGAGAACAAAGGTGCTGAGGGGGCAGAGAGGATTTCCGGGCAGCTGAGCACACAATGGGGAGCTGGAGTGGGTCAGCTGCAGACTCACCGCCACCCACGAGTCCCCCAGGCTGGAAGGCTGGTGTGCCGGCCCCCCGGGGCTGCTGCAGCCTGAGGAGAGAAGGCAGGTGCTATGGTTCGGCCTTTCCCCCTGCCCCTCCCCTCAGCCCCTTCAGGGGCCCACCTGGGACATAGGCATCTCCCCGGAGCTGGTCAGGTAGGTGACCCCAGTTGGGGGCCTGTGGGCGCCGACTCCTAACCAGGAAGACACGGGGCATTCCCTCTTGATGGTGAAGCGAAGGTGAACCGGCTCCACACACACAGCCCAGCTGCTTCACCTGCTGTCTGCTGGGGCCCTTGAAATATCCCAGGTGGGAGGGCACAGAGCCAGGAGAAGCCTCATTCTCTCCATGCAAATTTGGTGCCTGCCTGGTAGAGGAGCTAGCTCACGCCCTCTGTCTCAGGGGCCTCCAGTTCCACCCTTCTCTGTCAGTATTGAGGTACTCTCCCACCTCTGAGGTCACACCAGTGTCCCCCATAGACGGCCCAGAGAGGGTGAGGCAGAAGCCTAGGACGCTGTGGGCTGAGGACAGGATCCAGACCCAGAGCGTAAGTGTGGTGCATGTGTGTGTGTGTTGGGGGGGGGGGGTGCTTTCCCAGAGTACCAGCACAGGGAGGCCCTTGGTGCTTTTGCCAGGCAAATCAGCACCTCCGGATGTGCACCCACCTGCTTGGTTATTCAAATCACAGCAGTGTTTGGAGGGGAAGGGGCTGCTGTGATTTTTGGGGTCTGAACAACAGGGATCCAGGGGTGTCTTCACAGTGGGCATTCAGATAACCGCTTAAAATTTATCTTGTTAAAATTTGTTTTGGGGCCACACTTGGACAGTGCTGTGCCAAGATTCAAACCCGTGCAAGGCAAGTGCCTCTGTAACTCTCTCTGGTCCCTGGCCTCCACCCGGCACTGCTGAGCTTACGCCTGGTTCTGTGCTTAAGGATCACTCCTGGCAGGATTTGGGGGACCATATTGGAAACCGAGGATTGAACTCAGGTCAGCCACATGCATGGCTAGTGCCTGCCTACTGCATTACTGCTCTGGCCTTGACCAACTCTCTCCTATTCTGCTCCCCACTACTGTGCCCTGGGTGGGGAGAATCACCTGGGCTCCCCTGCATTTTGATGGGGTACTCCAGAGTGGTGGGGCCGTTCCCCCACCCTTGCTGAGGGTTGCCTGGGCACCAGCTCCCTTCAAAGCAGCCCTTCTGGAGGATTTGGGTCCTTTTCACTCATACCACCCTACCCTCACACAGTGCTCCTGGGAAACAGACACGGCCCCAGTGAGCAGGACTGCTGGGCCTCCCAGGGCGGGACAGGACTGGGCCCGTGGAGAGGAGGCACACACATCTTGTAGGCCAGCTTCCCTGTTGTAGACCCTCTCTCACTGGAGCAGCAGTGAATCCTGGCCAAGGAGAACTGGCTGCCACACATCTCCCAATCCATCTGATTCCAGTTGCTGGGACTGCTGATGGGGAAGGCACGTAGAAGGCTGGTGGCTGCTGGCGCCTTTGCTCCTGGTCAGATGAGGGGCACAGGGGGTGTTGTGACTATGAGACTCGGGGAGAAGGCAGGAACTGAAGGGTAATCCTGCAGCCTGGAGTGTAGATGCAGGTGAAGGCAACCTCCAGGGCGAATTCTGGGGATGCCAGGCACAGCATACTCTCGGCAGACCAGGGAGACACAAAACTTCCTCCAGAGATCTTGACAATAAGCAGGCTGGGCAGATGCAGGGAGTGTGGTGTATAGGCAACAGAAATACACCCCACCTTGGAGTTCTAGACCTCCTGGCCTTCCTAGGGCATGAGGGCATGAGGGGGCTTTGAGAAAAAGTGGGGTGCCCACAAACTTTGAGATCAGGATTTTGCACATTAACACTGTGCTGTGAATGCTTCACAAGCTTTACTGTCCAGAGCCAGCCTGGCCTGTGCCTCCAGGTCCTGCACTGCCCCACCAGGGTATGTTCAGGACCCCAAGGGGCCATTTTGCTGGTGGCTCGTGTCGACGGAACCGTGACCTCAGAGAATGACCCAGTCCTGACCTGCAGTGCCTTCCCTCACACAGGACAGTAAGCACTCACAGTAAGCTGGGTCCTGTGCTGAAGGGTCTGGCTCTGCCACTGTGCAAACCCCGATGGCCACAACTCCCACACAGAGTGGGGTACTCACGGTGCAGAAAACATGGTGACTGTGCTTTTTTTAAAAGTTTCTTGGGTTACAGCCAGCAACGCTCAAGGATTATTCCTGGCAGTGCTGGGGGACTATATGGGATGCTGGGGATTAAACCTGGGTTGGCCTCATGGAAGGCAAATGCCCTACCCACTGTACTGTTGCTCCAGCCCCTGAAACTGTGCTTTAAGAGAATCCCTAGACCCCTTCCTCCCTGCCCCTGGTTTTATTTTTTTGCAGGGGTGATTGGGGCACAGCCAGAAGTGCTCCAGACTTACTCCTGGCTCTGTGCTCAGGGATCACACCTGGCAGGACTTGGGGGACCATATGCTGGGAATTAAACCTAGGTCAACTGTGTGCAAGTTAAGCGCCCTACCCACCCTGCTCTCTTCAGTCCCCTTGCTGGCTGCTTTTGTGTCAGAAGTGTGAGCTCCTAAGACTGGAGCTGCAGCTCAGCTCTGCATGCGGGAGGCCTGGCTTCCATCCAGCCCTCACAGTGCTCACAAATTCTGCACTGAGCACCTCCAGCCTGAGCACAGAAATGGGAGTAGCCTCTGAGCATGGTCAGGTGTGACCCCCCCACATCAAAAATAAAAGCTTGATTCCCTTCACGCATACTCAAAACTGAGCTTCTTAAAATGCCCCAGTGACTAGCTAGCTGCCTAAGGTCACACAGCCTGGGAGACTGAACAGTCCCCTGAATTGGCTGGGAAAGGGTGACTGGGTCATGCTGGCCAGACTGTTCACTGGGGACTACTGTCTCCTATTGCCCCGCTGCAGACAGGGACAAAGGCCTGGGCCACCTGGGATCCAGGGGCCGGAAGTCAGTAGTAGGGCAGCGTGTGTGCCTGTGGTGGCTGGGAAGGATGGACCTCTACACTCCACAGGTCATCCCTCTTCCCCCACAGCAGCCAGAGTGTGGGACCCACACTGGTTTCGCTTCTTGAGAACGCAGGTTCCGTGCTTCCCGCAGCAGTCCTGGCAAATGCCCACTCCCTGCATCGGCCCAGAGGGGCTCTGTGTGTCAGCCAGGCCACTCCTCCAAGCTGCATGTTTTATTTGTTTAGCACTCGGCTTTCAGTCCCCCCGTGCCTTCCTGCGCACTGCCTGCACCAGGAGCTCAGAGTAATGTTCCAGGAGGGCGTGTAAGTCTGGGCTGGCCAAGGGGCACAGCATGGGGGGCGAGGGCGAGCCCTGGCTGTTCGGGACCTGGGCTGGGGTCGCATCAGTCTTCAGCAGCCCGCTGTGGGCCTCTAACTGGCTGTGGATCCAGAGGAAGGTGGACGTCAGCTCGGCGTGCGCCTGCTGCTGCTCGGTGGTGCAGTCCTGGTCCCTGGGGGCCACCTGTGGGGGACCGACTGTGAGAGGCAGCCCCTGGGAGCCCCGCCCCACCGCTGCCAGTCCCCTTGCTGGAGCAGGGCTCACCTGGTGGTAGAGGGCCAGTGCTTCCCGGAAGGCGGTCTGCAGCCTGTGCACGATGGCCCCCACACTGCTCAGCTCAGGAGGGGCAGGGGGCTCCCCCCAATGTTCAGGGCTGGCTGGGATCCTACCGAGTGCGCCTGGGTGGTGGAAGGGGAGGAAATGAGAATCCCCGACTTTTCAGGCCCGACTTACAGGCTAGGATGTCTCTCTCTGTCCCCACTTCACATTTCTGCTCAAAGGCTACCTTCTCCCGGACACTTTCTCAGCATTCTGTTATGTTTTTTTTTGTTTGGGGGGCCGCATCCAGGAGTGCCCAGGGCTTACTCCTGGTTCTATGTTCAGGGATCGTTCCTGGTGAGGCTCAGGGGCCATATATGTTGCCAAGGATCAAACCTGGGTGAGCCATTACAAGGCAAACACTGTAACTCTGTACTCCCTGGCTAGTATCATTCAAATACTAACCACTACCCCCACTTCTCACTCCTGCAAGCCCACCCTCCCCTCTTCTTGTTTTCTTTTGCGTTTTGGGTCACACCCAGTGATGCACAGGGGTTACTCCTGGCTCTGCACTCAGGAATTACTCCTGGCGGTGCTCTGGGGACCATCTGGGATGCTAGGAATAGAACCCAGGTCGGCCACGTGCAAGGCAAACACCCTACCCACTGTGCTATCCCTCCAGGCCCCCTCCCCGCTTCTTATAGTTGCCACAGTGCAAGGGGATCACAGCAGAGCTGCCCATGTGTGAGGCTCTACCCTCCCCCTGAGCCCCCACCCCCACCCCTTTCTCTTCCTTCTCTCCACCGCACAGGTCAGTTTCCTTGGGATTGTCCAGGCAGCTCCCTGGTCAGGGGCTGCCTCTCAGTGCATAAACAGTGCTCACAAATCCTGAAGTGAAGGAAGGAAGGAAGGAATGGCCCCTGTGGAAGGTATCTGGAGTGTGCCAGCTGGTGCACGAGGTGAGCTCAGGGGCTTCAGCCTTGTCGCAGGGGAGGTACTCACCAGGGCTGGGCTCCAGGGAGGTCAAACTACCCAGGACCCCAGGTCTGGCCTCTGGAGGCACGGGGCTGCTGGGGCAGGTACGGGACTTAAGGGACTCGGGGTCCAGGCGCTTTGGGAGGAAGGTAGTGTTGGGGAGCCTTGGGGTGCTCCCATCCACGGGGCTGCTCCCTGGGAGGCGAGCTGCCATGACTGTGACATTGGGCTGGATGTCCATGGGCTCTGGGGACCGGACACATGTGGGGTGCGGCTCCAGTGGGGGTGAAGGAAGCAAGAGTCTGTCACAGATGCCTGGCAGGGTCAGCTTCAGGCTGGCGCGGGCCTCGTGGTTGCCCCAGGAGCGCTGTGGCAGCTCTGGGCCCTTGCTGTCTGAGTCAGGGGCGACTGTGGCAGGTAGGCGGTGCTCCTGGATATGGGGGGCCAACTCCCCCGAGGGCAAGGGCACCCGCAGGGACCCAGCTAGCTCAGGGAGTGCAGGGGCCTCTCTGTCCTCCAGGGATGTGCTGTGTGACATCTTGGTACAGGAGCTGGCAGTGGCCTCCGTGGGGGAACAGGTGCACGGGGTGTGGACACTCTGAGCCATGCCGGGAGTGGGCACAGCGGTAGGTGCCAGAGGCTTCCGGTCTCCGGGAGGCACTGAGGAGGGGATCCTGGGCGCAGGGCCCAGAAGGCTGGGGGCTGTAAAGAAAGCAGCTTCACTCACACTCACGGCACAGAGCAGTGGACCCAGCCACTCCCACCCGTACCCAGCAGGACCCCCCCCAGGGCTGCCACGGGAGAGGAGCACTCACTCAAAGGGCACCAGGTCTCTGGACTCTCCAGAAGCTCCTCAGCCTTTGCCCCGGAAGGCACCTGCAAGCACAATCCTGAGGTGAGACCCGGCCTGTGGCTGTGGCTGTGTCTGAGGGAAGGCCCACAACTCACGCTGGTGTCGCCTGGGGAAGCTTTCAGAGGCTCTGCTCTGGGCTGGCTGCCGCCATGGCCAGGAACTTGGACATCTGGGGACTTCAGGAGGTGGAGAGGCAGCCGTGAAGGGAAGATGTGTGAGAACCTGTGAGGAGGAAACCAGGCTGGGGAGCACCTATTCATAGGGTGTCTGGGGACCCGGCCCCACCCAGGGACAGAGAGAGCTGGAAGGTAGAGGTGTCATGACTCCCTGGCACCTACGTGGAGGTCTTCTGGAGGCCAGAGAGGAACTGGGCTGAAATGCTCAGGCGGTGGTTAAAGAAGAAATCCTCGGGGTCACAGGGCTCGTCTCGCAGCGATCCATGGAAAAACTCTGGGGGGCAAGCGAGGGAGCCCTCAGAAGCCCTCCAGCCGCTGGCCCAGTTCTGGGCACAGCCAAGACCAGTAGGCAGAGTCCTCCCGAACAGCCCCCAGAACAGCGGGGCAGAGTGAGAAAACGAGATCCCGTCCCCTCCGTCCCCAGGCCTACCCTCAGGATGGGCGTCAGTGAGTGTCTCGAAGTGGTGGCGGAGAAACTTCTCCTGCTCCGGAGTCTGCGGCAGGGAGCTGCTGGCGAGGCCTGGCGCCTCAGGCCGGGCCGGCTCTTCGGCGGTACCTGGGCAGCCGAAGGACAGGCAGGGGAGCGGGGGAGGAGAGAAGCAGCAACACTGAGTCACGGCACCACCCTGAGAAAGACGCCAAGAGCCTGACAATGGAGAAGCGGGACTCGCCTGTCACACACCCGCCACGACCTGCTGACGAGGCAGAGCTACACACCCCATCCCCCGGGAGGGAACGCCAAGAGCAGGGCTCTCGAGCAGCCGGGGCCACGGCTAACCACCCCCCACCCCGTCCCCCACCGAGCCTGGCCCTGGCTTACCTGGAGTGGGGGGCATTGTGGTGTGAAATCGAGCGTCCGGGTCCAAGAGTGGAGGGGATGGATGAATGGTGGTGAAGCTACACTCCAAGTTACCCTCCAGCTCAGCCTCAGACTCCCCTGAATCTGAAGGAGCAGAGTTGGGGGGTCAGGGGCCCAAAGCAAGGCATTCCTGGGTGAGTCAGGTAAATAGTTCCCTTGGGTCCTGGTTTACCCCTCAGAGTGGGGAGAGTAACAGCCCTTTGACTGTTGCGGGGCCATTACAGGGTGCTGGGCCTAGGCCCTTGCGTATCTACTCGGCAAGCCACCTCCCTGCCCCAGCCATGAACCATCACGGTTCCACAGAGGAAGTGTCAGAATTGGGCTCCAGAATCGTTGGGAGATGGTACAGTCCATGTCTGTCTTCCAGACAGATTCGTAGCTTGAGGGAGCGTGACTGGGTCGGGGTTGCCATCCGTGGGAGCTCCAGCCCTCACTCACCCTCAGGCAAGCTCTGGTCCTTGAAGTCCACAGAGGAGCCCCTGAGGTAAGAGTCGCCTTGCTGGTCTCCGGGTGTCCCCTCTGCCTCTTTGTGGCACTCACTGCAGTGCCAGGGAAGGACACAGACCAGTCAGCCTGTCCCGACTCCGCCAAAGGGCTCCTCCCCCGAATCCCGAGTGAGGCAGCCTCCCTCCTCGGGAGAGCGGAGAGCAGTTCTTCCAGTTCTTCCTCTCCAAGGGCCGCAGTGTGGTGGCCGGGACACTCACCTGCCTGTTGCTGAGACTGTCTTCTCCTCGGGGGGACAGGTGATACGCTCACTGGCCTCAGGCAAGTCCCTCTTCTGGGGCAGGAAGGAGGCGCGCCTGCAACCTCCCTCTTGGGGGCTCTCGGACTGCGGAGTAGGGGACACAGTGACTTGGGGGTGGCTGTGGGGCACGAAGCCCACCCCAAGAGAAACAGGAAGGGTTAGGACAATTGGCTGCTTTTCTATTTCTCTGTGTCCCCAGGACTGGAACCCAGAGCGTCCCACGTGCAAGGCCGGTGCCCGCCAGCTGAGCTCCATTAGCGGCCCGCCAGCTGAGCTCAAGAGGCACATATGACACAGTTGAGGTGCTGTGTGCAGAGTAGCAAGCGGGCAGGTAGCACCTACCTCACTCAGGAGGCCCGCCAGGTTCTGGGGCTCCACTGTGTCCAGAATGGAGTCGTCTAGGCTCTCAGGCTTCATGGGGGTAAAATAGCAATCCAGATCCCGGGCATCCAGGATGGTCTTCAGGGGCTTGTGGTCGGCACGCTCCGCCCAGCGACCATGTGGCTGGTAGCTGCGCTTTGTGTGGAAGGTGGGGCCATCTGCCACATCATCATCTCCCAGCTGAGTGTGACAGGACAGTTAGGCAGCTCAGGGCAAGAGCTTACCAGCTCCCAGGGGGGCCAGGGACTCCGCCCCTCAGCTGTATGCGGCATTCCGCAACAACTTCCGGAGAGCTCTACCTGCCCGCACCTTTCTCCTCCCCGAGACCCGCCTCTGTACCGGGCTGTGTCTCCAAACGAAGCCCGGCTGACCGGTCAGAGCCACGATGCTGGGGATGAGGCCTGACCTTTCCTCCCAAACTGGCTCCTCAGAAAGCCCGCCCATCTCAGTTCCTGGGGCCGAGGGAAGGGTCCCTCACGCAGGAGGCCTGGTTTCAAATACTGGAACTGCATGATTCTCCCCACGGAATGTTAATGTTTATTCCCTGTGCAAACACCCATGTACCCACCACAAGATCCCCTGTGCTGCCCCAAACAGAAGCATTAAAGAATTTGACCACTTCCAACCCCGCCCAGTCCCAGCCCAGCCCTGGCCCTCCCTTGGGACGCTCACAGCCAACTGTGTCCCACATGCAGGAACAGGGACCTGTGCATTCCTGAGCTAGGACAGGGCCTGCCTGGCCCCGCATCAGCTGTCTCCGTACACCCCCACTGTGTTGTGGGGGAACAGTGGAGAGGGTGAGACAAGGAACTGTCCCCCACCCTTGACCTGCCCAGGGCTGCCCTAGCCCTTCTGGCCACTGCCTCACATTAGCCGCCTATCTAGCCGCCTGGGCCTCTCTGCACTTTCTAAAATAATCCTGCTGGGCTTGGTGCCTGCCAACTATTCTCTCTGCCTGGAATATTCTTTGCCACTACCTGCATTTCTCACTTGCTTTGTCTCCACTCAAATACCATCCTCTCAGTGAGGACCACCTTTCCCTTAATTTTCTTCTCTCCCCCCGCACAGATTATACCATTAATTTGCATTTTAAGCACTTGTATACTCCTATTCCATGGCCCTGGGACTACACATTAAAATTACCCAGGTAGGGGGCTGGAGCAATAGCACAGCAGGTAGGGTGTTTGCCTTGCTCACACATGTCTGTCTGCAGCCTGTGGCTGGTGCCCATTTCCATACTGAAGATGAGCCAGAGTCTGTGGTCACCTCACATTGTACCTAGTGGCCAGAAAAAGCCCTCACGCAGGGCAGGTGCTCAGCAGAATACATTTGATGAAGGGCTGAGAGTGGAAGGACGATGGGAGCACTCCAGGTAAGGGAGTGAGGTGAGGAAGAAAGGGTTCCCAGAACAAAGACCATGAGCACCCCTACTTTGTCTGGCAGACTCACCAGCCGCTTTGCCCAGAGTGGCAGCTTGCCATTGGTCAGCAGGCACTGAGGATCTGGAGAGAGACAGAGAACTCATGAACCACCCAGTGGTCACACAGGCGACACACATGAGCAGGCCCTTCTCCCAAGTGACAAAAAGGAACCAAGAGCCACACCAAAGCACGGCAGACTCTTAACTGGCAGGCAATAGTGGCTATGAAATGGAACAGGGCATTTCCTGCAGAAGAGCAACCAAAATGAGGCTGAGGTTTGTCCTAGTGTGGGGAAACACTTCCTGGGAGAATGCAGTAGGCTCTGGAGGAGCCCTGGGCATCTCTTCTAAAAGCAAAAAGTGACTGACCCCAGGCTCCAGTGATGCCTGTTCTTGGCCTCTGTCCTGGAAAACACTTGCTCAGGGGCTGAGAGGAGGCCTCAGAGTCATCAGCAGAGCCTGGTTCCCAGGGGTGTGAGGGGGGAAAGCCTCAATGTTCACCCTGAGGGCGTCACTTCAGACCCGACAGTGCCATTGTTGGAGACAGGCCGCCTTGGCTCTGCACCCACCAATTAAAGCTGTTAAGCTTCTTGCTTTCTGTTTTGTTTTTTTGGGGGCCACACCTGGCTATGCTCAGGGTTTGCTCTACCCTCAGGAATCACTCCTGGTGGTGCTCAGGGGACCACATGAGATGCCGGGAATTGAACCCAATTTGGCCGCATGCAAAGTAAATGCCCTACCTGCTGTACTATGGCTCCAGCTCCTGTTAAGCTACTTATGAGAGGAAAAGATACAGAACAATGCGTGGGAGAACATCGTTAGGGACACAAACATATTTCCTCTATGTACACAGGTGTGTGTCAATATTGAGGAAAAGGCCTACAGGAGCTCATACCCAACTGAAACCAGGAACACAGGAGTGGACCGAGGGAAGCAGTGAGACGAGCTCCCTCTCCCTCAGAGGCCGAGTTCTCAGTTTTAACCCCAGTTTTAACCCCAGGCTGCTGTTTTCCCCTGTTGGCAGAGCCTGCCCGTCTACTAGCAACAGCCTCTGAAGCTGAAAGAATCATGGCCAATGGGACCTGGGAGGTCAGCCGGGCCTGCTGGGAGTCTCCTCTCACAAGGGACTCCAGCGGAGGCTGTCCTCTTCAAGGTTCTGAGGTCTGGCACGTAAGCAGCCTTCGTGCCTAAGCCAAAGTGATATATAAAGAATACAACTGTATGGGGGCAGGGAGCGAGGGTACAGCGGGGGAGGCCCTTGCTTTGCATGCAGCTGTCCTGCATTTGCTCCTCAGCACCACGTATGGTTCCCAGAGCTCTGCCAGGAGTGATCTCTGAGCACAGCTGGGTGTGACACCCCACCCCAATCCCTGGAAAAAAAAAAAAAAAGAAAAAGAAAAAATGCCTGGCCTTTAGAGTCACTGAGCTGTATGAACAACAGAATCTGCTCTGCTTTCTGGGTTCCTAGGGTGGTCTCAGTAAGAATTACAACACACCAGGACCTTGCTATCAGCAAAGAAGGGGGTCTGTCTCTGTCTCTCTCCTCTCTAAAACTTTTTGGTTTTGTTTTTGGGTCATACCCGGTGATGCTCAGTGGACCATATGGGATGCCCGGGACTGAACCCTAGTCAGCATGTAAGGCGAGCACCCTACCTGCTGTATTATCGCTCCAGCCTGTCTCTTTAAAAAAAAATTTTTTTTTAAGGCACTGTAGTTTACAATTGTTTTGTCTAGATGATAAGCTAAGGGCTGCTGGGGGAATTTTCTCCTTGCCCACATGGAGAAAAGCCAAGTGATGGAGGAGTGCTAAGGCGGTCCTTCAGCACCATACGGGTCCAGCCACAGCTGGACAGTCAACAGTCAACAGTCCCAGGTTTTCAAATGAACAAATCCTCTCAGGCTAAAGCCAGTGAACGGGTCTGGCAGGTGTCAAGTCACTCATACTGATTCCTGAGCTTCAACAGGGGCTGCAAACAAAACAGTAGGCAGATCCCAGCACTGCCCCCACTCTGACAGACAGTCCCCAGCACGGCCCCTGTGTCCACCTGGGTCCAAGCTCTCCTTTGAGGGTGTCTTCAGCAATTCCGGCTCACACTCTTCCTCCAGTTCATCCTCGGTCTGCTCTCCGGGGCTTAGGGAGCAAACCTCACTGGGCATGGATACGAAGGTCTCCTGCCTGCAGCCAATGTGATGTGGGCAAGGAAAGAAACACAGGAAATGAGTGTGGCAGGGAGGACACAGGCCTGGCCCGGTGCGAGTTTCCAAAGCAAAGGTGCCCATCTGATCTGGTCTCCTGCCTCCTTGTCAAAAGAGAATTACTCAGAGTCCCCTGGCATTTCACCTTCCTCCAAGTGCCCCCACCCTCCATCAACTGCACATAAGGCTGCTGGCCACCCCCCTACCCTCCACCCCCCGCTCCATCTCTGCTCCCTGAAGACTGCTTCTGTGGGCATATTCTCGGCTTCTAGCCAGTGATTGTGGGAGCTACCACCTGTCACATCTGATCTACTAGGAACCTTGATATAATGTAGGAATGAGGACATGGCAGGGGCTCAGGGTCACGGCAGGGCACCAAAATGCAAAGGAGACAGTGGCTTGAGTGTGTGCATGGAGGGAGATGCAGCACTGGGATTTTAGCTCTGGAGTTCAACAGGCTAAAACTAGGTTGTAGAGGGGTGAGCACTGGAGACAGCAGAGTCCCAGTCCCAGGTGAGGTGTGACCCCAATACTAGAGCCAAAGGGAGCTGCACACTCCCTAGAACCACAGAGCTCCCAGTATCACCAGCTCCTGGTGGCCCGGGACAAACGCAGTACCCCCAGTACCACAGAGCAGGCAACAGCAAGGCCTCAAGAGAGGCAGGGAGAAATTCCGGAAGGAGAACCTGCCCCCAAACTCAAGCTGAGAGCTTCAAACCAGAACTCCCAACAGAAACCAGACCATAAATTCACTTGGAACATTAAGACTCGGAAATATGTGAGGAACAGGCACCCTCAAGAATGCTCAAGGGTGGAGCCGGAGTGATAGTATAGCAGGCAGGGAGTTTGCCTTGCACGCGGCTACCTGGGTTCAATCCCCAGTACCCCATATGGCCACCCAAGCACCGCCAGGAATTAATTCCTGAGGTAACCCCTGAGCAATGCTGGATGTGAGCCAAAGAAGAAGAAGAAGAAAAAAAAAAGAAAGCTCAAAGGTAACTGTTGCTTTGGGTTTAACACACCAAATATATACTTTGATTTTTGGGGCCATGTCCAGCGATGCTCAGGGCTCTGGACTCAGGAATTACTCCCGGCGGTGTTTGGGGGACCATATGGGAGGCTGGGGATCAACCTTGGGTTGGCTGCGCACAAAGCAAGCGCCCTACGGCTATATTATTTCCCCAAACTCACTAATATTTTAATTTAAATGAAAAAACATATCAGGAAGAGTCAAATAAGGGAGAGTCACTTTCGCTTCACAAATAACAACAAAAAGGGGCCCCTTCAGTAGGACTACCTCCCCCCTCACTGTGGCCTAGGCTGTACAGCTCCTTGGTGTGCATAGAAACCTGGGCTTGCTCCCAGACTTCACACTCGACTCTTCCACATCAAAGCCCTTCTCATATGTATTATGAACACTTTCATATGCCAAGTCTGTCTCCTCCTAGGGGAGGGCTGGGGCTTCGGGGACCTGGGCTGGCAGCTCCACTTCCGGTTCTTAGTGTGCTGCTGCTGCTCCTGATGGTCAATCTCCAGCAGGTGCTGCTTCATGCAGTTGGTCATCTCTGGGCCCAGGTGCCAGATGAATACGCAGCTGCCAAGAAAGGAGGGATGAGGCCTGGGCACAAACCATGGCCGGAGATGCCATCTGACCCCCGAGTCACCCGGTCACCCCAATCCCTGACGCCTCCTGGGGAACAACCCCACAGCCTAACAGAGGGGATCCAAAGTTTCCAGCTTGTCACTCTGAGGGGGCCACAGCACTCCCAGTAAGCCTACTCTGTGGAGGGACTGTGATTTTGAAGAGGCAGAGACAAAGGGGATGCCGGGGACATCCACACAGCATCCCGCCTCCCCTGATTCTCTCCACACACACGAAAGGGAGGTTGTATTGCCTCCCTTTCACAGGAGCGAACAAGGCTCAGGAGGAATGTAGTTGGCAGGTCTGGGCTCTGAACTCAGGATGGCCAGGAGTGGGGCATGGCCCAGGCCAGCTGGCCTACCTGTCTCCAGACACCGTGATCAGGTGATGACAGTCATAGGTGAACTTCATGCCAGTGACAATTTCTGTAAGCAGAGCAGAGAAATGGTGCTGGTTTGTGAGAAAACCATGGGGGGATGGGGAGGGGAAGGTGGGGGAGGGGTGGACTCTCCAGCTGGGGGCACACCCACCTGAATGGCCAAACATCTTGGCAACACATTCGCCCGAGTAAAAGTCAATCACCGAGATGCTTTTGTCTGAGCAGCTTGTGGCCAAGAAGGTGCCTGAGGGGTCCACGTGAACCTGCCAGAGAGAGAACCCAAGTGCCACTAGGCTGCCAGCTTCCTGCCTATCTGGGGCCGGGTCAAACACGACTGCTTCTGGAGTGAAGGTCCGGCCCCTGGTGCGGAGGGACTGCACCCCACTTTCCAGGGGAAGTCTGCCAGCAGAGCCACGACCATGGCGACAGTGCAGCTGCTCCATGCAGGAGCTCATCCCTCTTCCCTGCTACCTTTGTGTGTATTTTCCAAACAGGCACAGGAGGCGCTTTCCATTCCAAGGGAGAGCTGTGAGGGTCTGACCCCAGAGTCGAATGTGTGTCTGCCTTGTCTCTCAAAGCACTTCTGGGTAGGGGACCCTGGCCGCTAGAGGCGGAGCAGTGAGGCCTCTGCTCGCAAGGAGCCTTATCTGAGGAGGCCTTGACTTGAGTAGTGGGGCAGTACGGCCTTTTTTTTTTTCTTTTTGGGTCACACCCGGCGATGCATAGGGGTTACTCCTGGCTTTGAACTCAGGAATTACTCCTGGTGGTCCTCAGGGGACCATAAGGGATGCTGGGAATCGAACCCGAGTCAGCCGCATACAAGGCAAATGCCCTACCCGCTATGCTATTGCTCCAGCCCCCAGTGTGCCCTTTTGATGGGACCAAGGAAGTTGGAGTTCCAGGGGCCCATTGGGCAGCAGCTAGGAGGAGATGGGGTGAAGGGGATGTGGCCTCTCCTCCACCCGGCTCCAAGCTCACCTTCAGCAGGGACCCGTCATCACCCTGGGAACCCTTGTAGCATTTCTTCTGCTTCCCGTTCACAGTGTTGTAGACCCTGGGAGGGCGAGTGCACACGTGGGTCTGGGGTCCAGCCATGCCGCCCCCTTACCCCACTGGCCACAATCTGACCAGTCATCCTCAGCCCTTAAGTCCCCTGCCATCTCCTGTCCCCCCACCTGATTCGCCTCTGAAATGACATGGCAGCACAGTTAGGATCACAGTGTCCTGGAGTGTCCTGTCCCCATCACAGGGTCGTGGGGTGTGGGCACCAAGTAAGAACGACCAAGGGGAGCAGAAAACAGTGCCCCACATCCCTGCTAAGGTGGTCTTCTCGGCCACTCAGATGTCCAGGCAGGTTCCAGTATCTTCCAGGGCTGAACCCAGGGCCCCTGGGTTCCCCATCCCCTGACCACTGCATGCTGTCCCTGGCAGCGGCTGGAACTGCCCTGCTCCCTTGGGAACTTCTGCACTGGCACCCAGAAGGGGGACTCTGGGAACGCGGTGGAAGAAACAGGGGAGTCGGAGTCACCCCAGCACCTGTCACCCTCCAGCCCCCCTCCCCAAGCTTCTGGAAAGCAGGCGGGAACTCTGCTGATGGGGTATGAGGCCTGGGGGAGTCTGGCGCCTGGCAAAATCCCAGACTGACAGAGGAGGGAAGCAGAGGGCAGGGACACCAATGCGACCGCAGGGCCTCCACGGTCGCGGAGCAGCTGCTCACCTCACATTGCGGTCCTGGCAGGCCACCGCCACGTACTTCTGCGTGATGTCAATGTCCATGTCGTACAAAGTGGTCTTCTCGGCCACGTGGTGGGTCCGGACAAAATGCAGCCCATCTGAAGACTGGCAGGGCAGGCAGGGTCTAAGGGGCCACTCCAAATGAGCCCTCACATCAGCCCCCACGGAGACCACCCCATCCTACCCGCTGGGCGCTGCGGAAGTAAATGCTCTTGTCGGCCCCACAGCTGATCATCTGGATGTCTCTGGTGCCTGCAGAGGAAGAGGCGGCACCTCAGGCAGGGCTGGGCCGAGAATCTGACAGAGGTCAGGGGACAGCTGGAGCAGTAGCCAGACAGTGCAGTTGCCGAGCATGGGCAGAGACAGGACACAGCCACTGTGCCACTTACGCTGTGTTCCCACAGCCCCCCATTCAGGTCCCCAAGGACCAGCACCATACTGCTAACGGGGGATTTGCAAGGTGAGAGGGCAGTAGAGGTGATATTAGACTGAAGCAGGCTTCGAGGAGCCACAGTGCCAGCGATACCATCAGCATTTGCGCAGCATTGCTGAGTGTGGCCCTGAGCTGGCTGAGCTGTGCCCACACCTCACCACCAGGCCCAGAGCTGCCAGGCCAAATATTACTAGGAGTGACCCTGGGTCAAGCATAGCTGGGATGTATTTCCCCACAAATGGCAAAGAACAATGAGCACATCCTCACGCAGTGGGCCAGGCTGCACACCCAGGCCCCTCCCTCCCCGCTTGATGGCCACCAGAATACGAAGGTGGGTTCAGGGGACTCAGAGCCACCCAGGTCTGTCTTGGGGTCAGCAAGTCAGAATGGGGCCAGGACTGAAGCCAGGCACGCTGGCCAGCACCAGAGCCAGTGTGCAGTGCGTCCTGAACCTGGGCTGCTCCCAAGCCGCAGCTTCTGGGCACACATACAATGAGCCTGAAAACAGCCTCTGGTCAAGAGGTTATATGAGGCCCTTGAACAGTGCCCATTGCCATCAGCAAGTCCCAGCACTTTCAGCTTTCTTTTGTTTGGTTTTTGGGCTATGCCTGGATTGAACCCTAGCCTCTTACATACCACGCACAAACTCCAGCCCCTGAGCCATCTCCCTAACCCATTATTTTTCTTTCTTCATAGAAAAGATAAGACCCTCGGGCCTAAGAGATAGTACCATGGGTAGGGTGCTTGCCTTGCAGCATCTGACCTGCGTTTGATCCCCAGCACCCAATATGGTCCCTGAGTCCTCCAGGAGTGACCCCTGAGCACAGAGTCAAGGATAAGCCCTGAAATGTGGCCCCAAAAACAAAAAAAAAAAAGATTAAAAATAAGATTCTCCCAGGGCGGTGTTAAGGATAAAAGAACAGAACCATGTAAAAGCACTAAGGCCTTGGCTAAGAGCGGCAGTGAGCCTGGGGCATCCACTCAAGTTAAAAATCTAGTCATGAGGGAGACACCGGTCACTGTTGGAGTGTCCCTAAACATTGCTCTGGCCCCTAAAGATGCTTCTTGAGGGGCCAGGGAGATAGTACAGTGGGTAGGGCATTTGCCTTGCACATGGCTGACCTTGAGTTCAATCCCTGGCATCCTATATGATGCACTGCCAGGAGTAACCCCTAAACACTGCCAGGTGGGATCTCCCCCAAAAAACAAACAAATAAGCAGAAAGTATGCTTCTTGAATACAGTTCTCAACATTTTGGGGCTGCAGTGCTCAGGGATTACTCCTGGCTCTGTGCTCACAGATCAGTGCTTGACAGTGCTGAGGGGATCAAACCAGGAGGGGTCATGCATAATACACGTATGAAGAGATAGTATAGTAGTACTGTCTTTCTAGCCTCTAAAAATGTTTTTGAGGAATGAGGAGGAATCTCTTTCCTGTGGCACAGTGACAACTCAAATTCTGTCCTCAGTGAGGGGACAACCAACAGATGTCAAAGTTTACTCTTGGGGGCCTGTTTAAGCAAAAAGGAAACTGCTGTTCCCTGCGGTGGCAGAGGAGGCGGGCAGGGGACCTCACCAGCAAACTTGATGGCGGTGATGGAGGACGAGTGGTCGTCGAGTGTCTGCTCCAGGTTGTAGTTCTTCTCCACATTCAGCACGTGGATCAGCCGGTCCCGACTGGCCGAGGCCAGCAAGGTCAGCCCTATGGGTGAAAAGGGCAGACTTGGGTTCCCGGAGACGGTAAACATCAGGGGCCTAAAGCTGAGCTCTTCAGGCCTTGCAGAAGGGATCGCTGGTACTGCAGCCACCTTGTCCCTAAAAGCGATACTCCCCTTCCCCATAGCCCCTCTTCCTTGAGCCCCTCTTGTCCCATGCCACCGGCTTAAGCACAGAATCCTGACACCTACATGATGCACCTACAGTGCAGCACCCAGCCACACTGGTGACAGGTCATCTCCTTGGTCCTAGCAAACCTCTGGCTTCCAGAACAACGCTCTTGCGCCACATCCCTGCTCAGACTACATGGGTCCTGCCAGCTCTGAGTGACCCCTCTGGATTCTTCCTTCTGCTCTGGGTCTTCCCTTCAAGCCCTCTGACCATGCAGTTAGTGCCTACCCTCTGCCCGGCTCTATAAGGGCTGGGAAGGTGGATCAGCAATGGGGCAGAGGCCAATCAAGCAGAAACCCTGGGTTTGATCCCCAGCATCGCAATAAAAGGAAAGATAATATGGGGAAGGGTGTGGCGGGGGATTGCGCTATGCATGAAAACCAATCATTCATCAACAGTATTGTTAAAACCATAGTGCCTAAAATAAAAAATTTTTAATTAGTAAATAGGGGCTGGAGAGATAGTACAGTGGACAGGGTATTTGCCTTGCACCTGGCAGACCTGGGTTCGAGTTCTTAGACCCTATATGGTCCACCGAGCACCACCAAGAGTGATTTCCAAGTGTAGAGCCAGGAATAATCCCTGAGCACAGCCATGTACAGGCTGGGTGTGGACCCCCCCCCAAAAAAAAAGCTGGTCATCCCTGAGCAGAGCCCAGAGTATTCCTTGAGTACTACTAGGTATAGCAATAATAATTAATATATAGATATCTTGTATGTCTGAGGCCTTTCACAAGACCCAAGGTAGGCAGGAGCTCAGGAAAGGTGGACTAAATGAAGAGTGATTGAAAGAAAAAATTGGTGGCAGGACCTGAGAGATAAATCAGGGGTTAAGGCACTTGCCTTGCATGTGGCCAACCCCAGTTCAAACCCAGGCACTGCATGGTCCGGAACACCGCCAGGGCTTGCTCCTAAGCACAGAGCCAAAAACAGCCCCCGAGCAAAGCCAAATATAAGTTACCCCAATAAAATAAAATAAAGTGGGCATATGTTGGGGAAAGGAAAACAAAGGGGAAGGAACCAGAGGTGTGGCTTAGTTGCATAGCACTTGCTTTGCAAGTATGAAGCTGTAGGTTCAATCCCTGAAACAGCAAGAAACAAGGAGGAGGCCAGAGCAATAATACATCAGTGAGGGCATTTGCCTTGAATACAGCTGACCTGGTTTGATCCTCGGCATCCCATATAGTCCCGGAGCACTGCCAGGAGTAATTCTGGAGTGCAGAGTCGAGAGTAACCTCTGAGCATCACCAGTGGTGACCCCCCAAAAAATAAGGGAAAAAAAGGATGAGGGAAGAACAACATTGGAGAAATGGCTGTTTCACACATCAAGACAGAGTCCTGACCAAGACGGATTTTGGGGATACTCAAATCAAATCCCAAGGAAAGCAAAGCCAAATGGAGAGAAACTCTACAGATCCAACTCAGCAGAAAGCCAACGTTCCAGAATCAAGGACACAAGAGAGATACAAATGAAGTGAACCTGGATTAGAATAACAGGGTGCTCTGAAGGACACTGGGCAACTAGAGTGAATGAGGACAGTAGAGCATCAGAGTGAAAACCTGAATCGAACCAGCACACCAGATGGCCTCATTCCCAAGAAATGCTCACAGGAGCATGGAAGGGTGAAGGGGTTTCGTGCCTGCATCTGACTCTCAAACAACTCTGCAAAGGCAGCTGAAAGAACAGTGCCTGGTTATTTTGTTATTTCGTTACACCATGTGTATGTCACATATACACACAACAGAGTCACCGGATCAGGTTGAATCTTAAAGAAAACACTGGGAGAATTGGGGAACTTGAAGTGGGTATTCACACACACGCAAGCACGCACACACACACACACACACACACACACACACACACACACACTGCTGGGAATCAAACCCAGGGCCTCACATACAGAAGGCAAGTGCTCTACCACTGAGTCATGCCCCTGACCCAAAGCTGGGGATGGAATCCAGGACTCGACAAGTGCAAGGCCATTAGTTCTCTAGTGCTGAGCTATCTCCCCAGGCCCTCACAACATTCTTGCAGTTTTACTGGAGGCATCCAACCTCCACCAGTAACATGATGAGCTGTCCATCCCTCCCCTCCAGCAGAGACACAAGCTCACTCCTAGGCTCACTCCCTCAAGTCGTCCTTTACCCTGAGCACCATTTAGGAGCTGGGACCCAGCGTAAGCATGCAGAGCCCTGGCTTGGACGTCCTGCTCCCTGAAGCCAGGCCGAGGCCCAGGACCCTCATTAACCACACTTCCAGCTGTCTCTAAGCCACCAGACATGGTCGGCCCTGATCTGTGGCTCGGCTCGGGCATCACGCCCCCCGGCCCGCCCTGCCAACCAGCAGTGGCTCACCTGTCTCGGGCTTCGAGTACTCCAGGCATAGCACCTCGGCATCGTGGGCCTCCACCTTAATCAGCTCATCCATGAAGTGCAGCTCGTGAATCCTGGAGACACACCCCGCCTGCATAAGTCCCCAAGCTCCTGCAGTCATGTTCTCTGACAGCTAGGACGGGGTACCTGGGCCTGAGAGTGTCATATTCCCTTGCCAGTCCACTCTGTTGGGAGTTCCCCTGCCCCAGCCTTCTGGAAGCCCCCTGTGAGCTGTTGGGGAGGGGGCTGGTTGCCGAGGACTCTGAGGAGTCAGAGGGGACAGAGCCTGGATTTGTAATCACCACCATGACCCTAAGTCCCAGTGGGAAGGGCGGCACTGGATACATCAGGGCCCACTTGCCTCAGATTTCCACTTCGGTCGCCGGAAGCCAAGTGCTGGCCATCAGGACTGACTTGCATGACTCGCACTCCGGCTTTCACTTCCACGGGCGTTGCGTTCTCATTGCCCCGGTCTGGGAAGTGTGACAGGTCCTGCAGGTGCTGGGTGTCGTTCTCTACATACACAACCTTCAGCAGGGTCTGGAGAAGGAGGGGGGTGCTATGAGGAGCTGGCGGCCCTCTGCAGCTCCATCTCCAGAGTCTCCCACTCTCATTAGTACCACAATGCCACTTCAAAGTATGGGGCTGCAGAGATAGTCAGCAGGTAGGGCACTTGCCTTACACCTGGGTTTAATTCCTGGTATCCCATATGGTTCCCTGAGTAATTCCAGGAGTAATTCCTAAATGCAGTCAGGAGTAACCACTGACTATTGCCGGGTATGACCCAAAAACAAAAACAAATCCTTATTCTGGGGCCAGAGCAGTGAGATAACAGTTTAGGGCACTTGCCTTGCATGTGGACAACTGGGGTTCAATCCCCGGCAACATGTATGGTCACCTGAGCCCCTCCAGGAATAATCCTTGAGAAAAGTCAGGAGCGAGCCATGAACACAACTGGGTGTGCCCCCAGCCTCCCCCAAAAAACAAACAAAAAATAACCGTGCATGTGAAAGGCACACCCAGCAGCGCTGAGCAAACGATGGTGCCAGGGATCGAACCTGGGGCTTTCAAACGCCAACTTATGTGCTCCAGTCCTTTGAGTCATCTCCCCCCAGAACTCCAAGCCTGACCTCAGAGGTTCTCCACTCAGAATCACTATTTCCCAGTCTCCTCTACAGCAAAGTGAAGCCATGTAAACAAGTGTTTGCCAATGAACTCTAAGGGTTGCTCCCTTTCTGCTTTGATAAAGCAACACTCCGGCTCCCATTCCTTGACCACCCCCTCCCCACCCTCACCACCAAAATGGGGAAAGAACCAGAAAAGACTCCATCCTGTCCCTAAGTCCAAGCTTAAAGCAGGTCTTTATTTTTCCTAAAATGTTCACCGCCAAGCCACTCACATTGCTAAAGATGTTTTGCTGCCAGTGAGAGTCAGGGCTGCTTCCCATGTTCCAGAAGCGGATAGTGTTGTCAGAGGAGCAAGTCAGGAAAGATCCCGATGGCAGACAAGCTCGCTGATCTTCAAACTCAGGGTACACCTACAGTTTCCAGAGAACAAGCAAAAGACTTGTTACCACCAGTACAACAATAACACTATGATATTCTGTGGCATTTGGGTGACTAAATGTGGTGTAATACCTTCTATGCTAAAAGGGGAATAAAGAATGAAATGCTACCATAATTGTCCATGCCCCATCTTCAGGGGATCATAAAATATCCCTATGAATAAATGTCCAAAATAGGCAGCCTAGAGAAAAAAAAATACAACAAAAACACCCCACTAAGCACAAAAGGAAACAAGGTACCGTGAGAAGCAAGAAGCAGCAGGAACAGAGTGCAACTTCAACAGAATATAAAGGACTACATTTGAAGAAATGAAAGAAATGTCAGGGTTTTAAGTAGGAGGAAGGACAGGAATGAAGCTCAGGGACAGAGCATGCGCCGTGCATGGGAGAGGCCCTGGATTCGATCCTCGGCACTGCAAAAGAGAGGACGAGGAGGAGTCAAACTGAACAAGCAGAGGAAACAGGAAGGGCTCAGACCCTCTTCTATAGAAGCTGAGTGAAAAAGTGCTTGGCAGGAAGATCTGCAAGGATGGATGCAATTAAGGCCCTCGCTGTGGCTTCTCAAAACTGACCTGCTGGGTGCCAGAGCAATAGGAGAGCAGGCAGGGTGCTTATCATACATGCAGCTGATGCAGGTTTGTCCCCAGCACTACAGATGGCCCTGAGAGTCCCGCCAGGAGTAAGCCCCGGGCACAGTTGGATGCGGCCCCCAAACAAGGAAGAAAACGTGACCTGCCTGGAGCCCTGTCCAGCCTGTTGCATTCTCTCTCTCTACTGCCCAGAAAGTGCTGTAAGAAGGAAAGGTAATGAGACCTCTGCTCCTGAGAGCAGATTATGTACATGAGGCTTTGGCGCAAAAAAAAAAAAAAAGACATCAGACATTTCAGTAACTCAACAGTCACATATTTAAGACAAGGAAAGAAAATATCAACTCAGCATTTTCTATCCAGCAAAAATATTTTCTACCAGCAAAGTATGAAGGACACAGACAAGAAGTAAAAACATAGGAAATGCTGTCTCTGTGACTGTCCCTGAAAAATCTACTACAGAGTGTTGGGATGGGGACTGATGGAAGGTAGTGGTAGAACACCTGTTTTGTAGGCAGCAAGTCCACCAGTTCGATTCCTGGCAGTACCCACCCCATGTGCCTGATCCCAGAAGCACAGCACTGCTAGCCCCATGCCACACCACCAGTCACTCAGTATTGCGACCACACTGTACACAAGCACCCTGGCATAGTATGATGCAAATCACAGCAAGTCCTGCAGCTAGTGTGCAAGTCCCAAAACCAAGTGTGCAAGGCCTAGTGTGAACAGCACAGACAGGTGTGAGATTTGCCAGGAGCATTGCAGCCACATGTGTGCAAGCCTGGGTCATCATAACTGCTGAGAAATAAAAACTATCAAGACAAAACAAAAACAAAAGAAATGGAAAGGGACACTAAAATTGAAAAATAAATCTTAAGACTGAGCTTAACAAGAATAACCAGATATCAACATAAGGAAAAGGATGAAAAACAGTTATTTGTAGACCTAAGAGTCCAGGAACCCAAAACGTAAAAACAACAAAGAAAAATCAAAGTCATAAATTTGATGAAAGATGCGAATCAACATGTTCAAGCTCAAAACAACAAAATTCTAAGTTAGAATGAATAAACTTAAAGAGTCCCACATAAAGATACACTATACATTAGTATACAAAGCCAAACAGATAATCCTCAAAGCAGTAAGAGATAAGCAACTTGCTCTGTGCAAAAGAATCTTAAGAAATTAACAGTTGGGGGCAGGAGTGATAGCACAGCGGGTAGGGTGTTTGCCTTACACGCGGCCGACCAGGGATCGATTCCCAGCATTCCATATGGTCCCCTGAGCACCGTCAGGAGTTATTCCTGAGTGCAGAGCCAGGAGTAACCCTTGTGCATTGCCAGGTGTGACCCAAAAAAGCAAAAAAAAAGAAAAGAAATTAACAGTTGCAGGCAGGGCCCTTACCTTGCACACAAACAACCCAGGTTTGATCCCAAGCACCGCTTATGGTACTCCTTGCCCTGCCAGGAGTAATCCCTGGGCAGAGTCAGAAGCCCTTAGCAGTGCTAGGTGTGGCCCCCAAATTACAGGGGTCTGGGTTCCAAGACTTTGTGACCCTGGTTCAATCCCGGGAACCACATGGCCCGAGAACCACCAAGTACAGCTCCAGAGCACTACTAGGTAACCCCAGTGTACTGCTTGTATGGCCTGGGGGTCCCAGGCTCTGTATCCCAGCACTGAGCCATTAGCCCCAGCTGGCCAAGTATTGCTGGGGGTGGTACAGGGATGTGACTCAGCTAAGACAAATGTTCCCCAAACGCTCCCTGGTGAAGCAAAATAAATACAATATTAAAAGAAAAAGGGTCAACCAATAATTCTGTAGCTGGCCTAAACGAAAGCTGAAGAAATTGTTAGCAGACCTGCCTACAAAGAAATGCTGAATAAAGGGCGTCCTTTGGCTTGCTTTTTCAAGCCGGTGTCCACTCTTGAACACTAGCTCTACGTTCCTTTGCTTGTTTGCTCTTTCAAGCCTGTGTTTTTCTTTCTTTTTTTTGGGGGGGAGGGGCAGGCTGGGTGGTTGGAGGCTACACTTGATTATGCTCAGGGCTTATTCCTGGCTTTGCACTCAGGGATCACTCCTGGTGGGGTTTGAGGGCCCTATGGGGGTACTGGGGACTAAAGCCCAGGTCAGCCACAGGCAAGGCCATCTCTCTACCCGCTGTGCTTTCTCTCTGGCCTTAGTCATGTTCCTTATTGAATACATATCATGCTGGCTTGTTCTTTCAAGCCTGTGTTCTCCCTTGAACATGCCTCTGTGTCTCTGCTTGCTTGTTTGCTGGCTTTTTCTGCTCTGGAGAAGTCCATGTTTTCTATTTATTTATTTTTTTGGCTTTTTGGGTCACACCCGGCAATGCACAGGGGTTACTCCTGGCTCTGCGCTCAGGAATTACCCCTGGCGGTGCTCAGGGGACCTTATGGGATGCTGGGAATCGAACCCAGGTTGGCCACGTGCAAGGTAAACGCCCTACCCGCTGCGCTATTGCTCCAGCCCCCCATGTTTTCTCTTTAATAGGTATTCCTCTTTCTCTCCTTCCAGGTCTAAGTAAATTTTGTTTAATTAAAACTATCTTGCTTCACCATTTTGCCTCTTCCTGAAAACTTTTTCCACAAGGAAAGGCGATGGGCCTGGAATGTTTGTGCTGTGTGCTAAGGTTAGAACTGACTTTCCTTTCCTTCACAGACCAATCCCTCGTCCCAGCCTGAGTCCAGAGCTTCCAGAGAAATCAAGTGTCAGTCAAGGGAAGTGTCACTTCCCATGGCGTTCAGGACAGTGGACTCTAGGCACAGTTTGATGGCTGCCTCGTAGAGTTGGCAGGGCTGAGCATCTGTGCACCGTAGCTTTACCAGTTCTGACCAAGCCAGGCCTTTCCTTGGGGGGTCGAGGGGGGCTGAGCAGAGGTGGAAGCACTCTTTCCTTGAGGCTCCTTCTCTCCTCACTTTAGCAAGCCACTGGCAAGAGGAACATTATCTAATAGGAACATGCAGAAAACGAGTCAGGGCCGGATTAGACCGGTATGCACAGATGGAATGTCATCCAGAAGAAGGCTGATAACCTGGACAATCTAAAGATAGTCATCTCAACATCCTGCTTTTCCCTGCCCTTTGTCTTACTGCACAGCTCTCCACACTTTTAAAGTGCTTCCCATTCCCTTAGCTAGGAAGATATAAGAGGAGAAAGGCTTCTCTGAAATTCTACCTAGGGGATCTTCCTGTCCTTTTCCTCTTCCTTCTATCCTTTTGATTTTTTTGAACCAACCCCAGCAGTGCTCAGGGCTCACTCTGCACTTTGTGATCACTACTGGCGAGTCTCAGGGGTTCTGGGGATTTAACCCAGTTTGGTCACATGCAAGGCAAGCACCCTACTCACTGTACTGTCTAGCCGCTCCCTCCCCCAACTTCGAAAAAAAAAAAAACACACATGAAGGGCTAGGCAGATATCTCAAATGGCTAGGGTGCATGCTTTGTATGTAGGAGCCCTTGGTTTAATACTTGGAACTTCACGGTTCCTTAAATATTATTAAAAAAAAAACACACCGCCCCCCTCCCCCCCACACACACACACAAAACACAGGGCTGGAGCAATAGTACAGCGGGTAGGGCTGTACTATTGCACACAGCTTACCTAAGTTCAATCCTTGGCACCCCATATGGTCTTCTGAGCATGATTCTTGAGTGCAGAGCTAGGAGTAAGCCCTGAGCACCACTGGGTGTGGCCCAAAACAAAACTCACTACCATCAATCACATCAAAAAACCTATAGTATGGGGTGCAAGGAGCTACATCTCCTTGCGACATACACAAGGCCCCCAGTCTGATGCTGGCACCACAGGCTCCTCTTTCCCAGCAGCTGGGTATGGTCCTGGTGTCTCCAACATTGCCAGTCTCAGCAGTTCTGCATCGCCAGACCCATCCCTGGATCTCAGATCCCACAGATGGGTGCAGTATCACCTGGAGAGGGCCCTGGAACCCTCAGCACTGCTTGGGAGGTTCCTCACCCCGCCACTAAGGGAAAAAACCCAAAACACAATGTGGTACATATACTTCATACACTTCACAAGCACTATATAAGTGCTATAATTTAAAAACAAAAAAACAGAGAACTAGTATTGCCAATGATATGGAGAAATCAAACACTCTTCTAAGTTGATGGTTTTTTATTATGGGGTCACATTCAGCTGTGCTCAAGGGGACTGATCTGGCAGTATTCAGGGGACCATGTGGTGGGTGCTAGGGCTACTATGGGGCTTCCTGCATGTAGAGCCTGTACTCAGTTTGCTGAACTATCTACCAGTCCACAAGTGGACACATAAATGGTGTATACTCTGAAAATGTAATGCTTTTTTTTTTTTTTTGGCTTTTTGAGTCACACCTGGCTATGCATAGGGGACCATATGGGATGCTGAGAATAGAACCTGGGTCGGCCGCTTGCAAGGCAAATGCCCTACCCACTGTGCTATCGCTCCAGCCCCTGAAAATGTAATGCTTTTGCAGAGAAATTCAAATGGAATTATAACAGCAGTTCCACTCCTGACTATATATTCCAAGGAATTGAAAACAGGTGTTTCAACAATGTCTATGCATAGCAAGCAGCACTAGTCATAATAAAGCCAGAGCTACCAACAATCCAAATTCATTAACTGTTCACCAGCAACTGGTGAACAGTTAATGAATTGTAACGCTATCAGACAAAGGAATATAGTTCAACTTTAAAAAGGAATGGGAGGACTGGGAGATGATTCAAAGGACTGGAGCACATGGTTTTTGTTTAGTTTTTGTGCAATACATGGCAATGCTCAAGCTTACTCCTGGCTCTGCACTCAGGAATTACTGGTGGTGCTTGGAGGACCATATGTAGGATGTCAAGGATCGAACTGAGTTGGTCACACGCGTGGCAAGTGCCCACTATATTATCACTCTGGCCCCTTCATGCTTTGCTTGCAGAGAGCCTGGATTTGATTCCTGGCTGCACAAAGCTCCCACAGTACCACAGGGAACAATCCCAGAACCACAAACAGGAGTAGCACCCAGGCCCACTGCCTTACCCACCACACACACCTACAGTGAGGAAGTACCAAAACACGGTAGACAAGCTTGAAAACTACAAGCTAAATGAAAGAAGCCAGATACAAGCCCAAATATTCTATGATTCCATTATATGAGATACTCAGACAGGCAAATCCATAGCGACAGCAAGCAGATTAGTTATTGCCAGGTGCTGGGGAGAGCAGAGAATGGGGAGTGATTGCTTAATAGGTACAGAGTTTCCTTTTGGAGTGATGAAAATGTTCCAGAATTAGACAGTAGTGATGGTTGCACAACACTGTGAATTAAAGGCCACTGAATTTTACAGATTCAAATGGTAAATTTTAAGTTATATGTATTTAACCACAATGTAAATATGTATACTTAAGTGATTCCCCCTCCCCCAATAAAATAGAAAGTCAAAAGAAAAATAATTTAGTATTTAATAGTTACATGATGAAATCACAAAGATATAACTATTTTTTTAAACTGGGGAAGAGAAAAAATAGGCAAAAAAATTTTTTTTAACTATTGATAGAAAACTTGTTACTCTCAGTCTATTGTATATATAATGTGGAAACAAGTACATGATTACTTGGGAATATTCTACTCCCATCATCCCTGTCTTTGTGAGAACAAGGATTCTGGAGAATCAAACCAAAAGCTAGGAACATCCCCAGTCTCCCAGACTGTGACTGTGAAATAGCAATTTGAACTGAAACAATGCAAAAAAAAACCAAAAACCAAAAAACAAAAAAACAAAAAAAAACAGGGCTTTGTCAAGTAGAAGACCCCACATATGGGACAGGCTGGCACATATAGCTAACACGTGAGGACTCTTGGAGCCAACTTGAAGCGCTCACAGGTCAAAAATGGGACCATCAAATTTCCAATAATGCCAATGATTGCAGTGGACTAGAGCACGGCCAATATATTAAAATATGAGTTTAAATGATATTAATAGAAATAACTAGTTACCTTTAGAGGTCAGGGACCAATTCATTATCTTGAGAACTGGCAAATAAAGGGAAAGAACCAAGCATATGTCCTGCCTTTCCTATATGAAGTGTACCTCTGGGTGACCAAATGGTGGATGAGGGGAAGTGGCTCTTCATATAAGTAGTCCAACTAATAAAAAGAAACGATAGAATTAGAATATCACCATATTTCAAACCCCAACGACAAATGGATCTATGCACTGAGCATCAGCAGCTGCTACTGATAACTGATAGAACTACTTCGGGGGTGTGGTTTCCCAGATCTGTTTTATTTTCTTAAATACGAAGGCTCGAGACAGACAGGGCATTTTAGAGTTAGTGAAGAAGACCGAATGGTAGTAAAGGCAACTCTTAAGTCATTACTGGCTGAGAACTTTCCAGAAATGATAAAAAGATTCATTCCAGCTATCTTTGTTGAGGATAAAAAAGGCAGGTGACAAAATGAAGTAGGAGGACAGAGAATCAACAGATTAACAGGGGTGAGGGTGAGAGGGAAGAGGACCAGGAACAGGAAAGAGTCACAAAAGACTTCGGCTTTATCTGTAACAGTTCACCTTTTATTCCAGGTGAATGTAATCAATGCGTATTTTAAAAAATTACTCGAAAGCATTCTTGTTAAGTGAGAAAGGTGCTATCAACAGAAACATCAGATCCATGAAGACAGCTGTATTCAAACCAACGGCTAAGTAGTGCTTGATTCAAAGGATCAAGTCTTTTCTCTCAATTCTAAATTGGACCAACGAAAAACAATTTTGCTAACACAACAGCTGGAGCAGTTTAATAGTAATAGTAGTATTTAAAATTTCAGCATAAACCCCCCAAAATGAAATAGAATTAATTCTCCACTCCTCTCAGCTGCAAGCAATACTGAGAACAGTTTCGGAGAATTAAGAACATTCTCAAGATCATTCTCGGAAAATATAAACGTCAACACTTAAGAAAACAAAACCATGGGACTGGAGCGATAGCACAGCGGGTAGGGTGTTTGCCTTGCCAACCCGGGTTCAACTCCCAGCATCCCATATTACCCCTGAGCACCGCCAGGAGTAATTCCTGAGTGCATGAGTCAGGAGTAACCCCTGTGCATTGCTGGGTGTGACCTAAAAAGCCAAAAAAAAAAAACAAAAACAAAAAACAAAAAAAAACCAATCTATGACACCAACGCCCCCTACAGGGTACACTGGGAGGTACACACAACTGCAGATCTGCAGATCTTTGCTCCTGCTCTTCTCCCCAGGTTTGCCTCCCTTATTGTCACACTTCCTGCAAGTCCCTGCTTAACTGCCATATTCTCAGAGTGGCATTCCCTGACCACTTTCCCCTCTAGAATAGCACTCAGACCCCCTGCTTATCCCCTGATCTACTTTAATTTTCTTCAATGAGGTCATGCTACTTGGTACATTATGTAGTAATAACATGAACAAGCTTCCTGAGAACAGGATTTTGGCCTGTTTCCTTCCAGGCTATGTCCCCAGCAACTGGAACAGCATCTGGCAGAGAGCAGTGTGAGCATCTCTGAAGATGCTGAATGGGTTCCCCAAATACTGTAGAGCTTTCTCAGGCTGAGCCCCAGAGGGCGGGCAGAGGGCACTCACCTCCACGTTCCAGACGTAGGAGCTATGGAAGAGCTCTGACCACATCCTGCCCACTTTGTGGATGTCTTTGACATCCCAGACGTAGATGCTGTGGTCCTTATACACACAGGACAGCCACTGGTGGAGGGGGTCGAAGGTCATGGCAACAGTATCTGGGTAGACTGCATCAGCCTTCCTGTGGAAAAGGAAGCTAACAAGGCCACTTGGGTCATGATCAACATTGATATCACTGTGAGTAGTGACAGCCACCTCTGGTAACGCCTGAACTGCTTCTCTCGAGCAATACCGAGGGGGTCCACTTCTCCCACCTGCTCCCTTTGCTCTGCTTCTAAAGCTGAGTGGAAACTCACACTTCTGCCATGGCCCCAAAGAGGATTTGAATTCTGGACTCCAGAGAACACATCTCTCTGCCCTCATTCCACCCAGTCGAGGTTCCTGAGCATAAAGGATAATGGGCACATATTTCAGGCCTTTTTATTAGTCACCTTGACCTGACCCCTACATGATCAAAATTTCTTGTGCCAAGGGAATTAGGAAACATCCCTGGGCCTGGGGCCTCTACTACAAACCTACAGTTTGCTGAACACACACTGCACGCCACATCAAGAGCTTCCGAGGCACTGATTCCCTTCTGCTACTAGGGGAGGTGGGCATCACGGTGCCCAGATGGGGACATGGAAGAAGGCATCACACAGCCCAGTGACGGTCGCAGGGCAGGGAGCCTGACTGCTCTCACCTGGAGTCTGTGGGTCACCTGCTCACCCTACAATGTATAAAGCGCCCAGCAATGGACAAAGAGGCAGCCTTCATAGCCCCCATAACCCCGTAAAACAGACTCCCAACCCAGAGGAAGACATGTACCCATGAACAGTTCCACACTCACCCAGAAGCAGCCCAGATTATCTTACTCAGCTTGATCACATAACAGGACTGACACAGCCCGCTGAGTTCACAGGCAGGATCTTAGTTCTAAGTGCTTCTTTAATGCTCAGACCCTATGTTTCTCCCATCTCCTCCTGTGCACAGGGCTCCAGTCACACCGCCTCAATTCCTTCCGGTTATGCGCCAAGCCCAGTAAACTGGCTCCTTAAGGTAGGTACACTTGCTGTCCACACCAGCTCTCCACACTGCCTCTTTTTCACCACACCTTCCCTGAGCAAGGTCGCTACTTTCTGAGTCCCTTGCTTGAGCCTTGAGGCCTAACGGAAACCTTCTGGCTGGTATCCTTAGTTGCCCCTGAAGTGCCCCCATTACACTGCAGACCTCAAGCGGCAGAGACTTTGCTGTCTCCTAATTACTCTGTCTCCTGCTACATGCACAGACAGAAGAATCTGAAAGTCAGCAAACTCGGGTGGGCTCCACTTCCTCCTCCCACCAGGAAGTACCTGGGCTCCAGCCCCTGGGCCACATCCACTCCAAGGTAGTGCGGCTTGGGCAGGTTGGTGAGATAGTGCAGGTTGTGGGCCTGGAAGACGCGAACTATCCCATCTGTGCAGCCACAGAAGATGAGATCCTGGCTAACACAGAGGCAGGAAGACAGGGAGACCTGCGGGAGCAAAGAAGACCCTAAAGATCCTGGTACTTCATGCGGTCAAGCGGAGAACCGTGGGGGCTGAAACAGGACCTCCCAAGAAGCCTTAGCAGTTCCCAGAGTCGAAGCTGCCCATTTTAAGATCTCTGAAATGGGACTACAGCAGTTACTACTGAAGGAACTGCTTCAGCAGGCAGAGTCACAGCCCGGGACAGCGCTGCCCCTGCTATCTGCGAAAAGCTCTGGTGTGCGTGGAAAATACTGGCACAGCACACTCTGACTTCAGGTAGGTTCCTTGAAGTAGGCAGTTAAACTTGAGGCTCCTTTGTTTTCGAGTCACAACTGGCAATGCTCAGGACTTACTCTTGGCTCTGTGCTCAGGATTCACTCCTGGTGGGCTCATGGGATCATATGGGGCATCGTGGATCAAACCCAGATCAGCAAGGCAAGTGTCTTACCTGCTATCTAATCTCCCCAGCTCCTTAAACTTGAGGCTTAACTTTTATTCTCTGGTGCGTAAAAATAACTTTACCTTCAAGGGGCCGGAAAGATAGCATATCACATAAAGTTCTTGCCTTGCAAGGCCAACCTGGGTTTAATCCCTGGAACCCCTGGCCCCACACCAGGAGTGATCCCTGGAACCCCTGAGCAGGTGCAGCCCCCAAAGAAACATGGGAAGGGAAAAGCCCCTGAAAATCTGTCCATGGAACTGAGTTTGCTAAGCTGAGGGTGGCATGAGAGGGTACAGAGAGACAGCGGTAAAGGAATGGGACACTTGGGTTCAGGTTGGTTACAACACTGGATCCCTGAAACAATATTAACAGTATTGTAAATCACAGTGATATTAAGAGATAAATAAATGATTAAATGTTTAAAACACAGACCTGGTCCTGGCAGGCTCTGGGGACCATATTGAGTTCCAGGGATCAAACCCAGGTTGGCAATGTGCAAGTCAAGCACATACTATCAAGCACGACCTCCTGGACTATTGCTCCGGCCTCTAAGGTTTTTGTTTTAAAATAATCTTGTGGGTACTGGAGCGATAGCACAGTGGGTAGGGCATTTGCTTCGCACGCGGCCAACCCGGGTTCGATTCCCAGCATTCCATATGGTCCCCCGAGCACCGCCAGGAGTAGTTTCTGAGTGCATGAGCCAGGAGTAACCCCTGTGCATTGTCAGGTATGACCCAAAAAGAAAAAAAAAATTATTGTGATAATTTAAATATCAGTGTTTGATTTGCATACTTATTTTCTAGATTTTTCAAGCAAAGGTTGAAGAAGCCCTGGACTAACTATATAAATAAAAGTTAAGCTCCTGCAATGTATGTGGTTAAAAAAAAATCAAAGACCCTAAAGACCCAAAACACTTTCAATACTAAACAAATCAACAAAAACACAGACTGGGTAGCGGAGAGGATTCAGGGCGGTGGACACATGCCTGGCACACTGGGAGACCTTGCGCTCAATCCCCAGCACCAACCCCCAATCTCCCATGACACGGTAGGGGGTTCAATCTTGGCTCTCCTCAGCTCTGTGGGATGTGGCCCTTAGAAAAACGTGGTCCTCCCACCAACCACAAATATTTAACCAAGAGAAACACAACCAGGTACAAACAGTGATGGGAGAGCAGCAGTAACCTGGACACCCCCTTTACTGAGTTCCAGACACAAGCAAATGCCTCTCATGCGACTCCCTGATCTGGGACGTAAGCAATAGCAGTTCCATTTTACAGATGAAGAACCTGAGGCCCAGAGAGGGTGTCACTTACCACAGTCACACAAACAGAACAGGAAGTCAAACTCAGGACTTGGGTGATCTACTACTAGCAGGGAATCAAGGGGCAAGGGGCCCTCTATGGGTGGCACAGAGGTAGAGTGGGTACCTTCAGGTTGATCCATTTCTCCAGCACTCTCTTTTCATTGAACTGGCAGAGGAGGCCCGAATAGGACACACAGAAGGTACTGCCTGCTGTCTGGCCACGACCGCAAGCCACACCGCAAAAGATATTGTTGTGCAGCTCCCCGAGGATGCCAGAGCGCCCAATGAGGGGCACTGTGCCCGTCACCTGGAGGCAAAGTAGGACACACTGAGACACTGTTCAAGCAGCCTTGACACCGCCCGGTCAAATCATGCCTCTCTTGATCAGAGGCTACGGCACAACTAAGAACGGAGAAGGGGAGCAAACAGAACACACACGTCTAGGTGGAAAGGCCGGAAGGCAGCACTCCAGCACCAGCAGTCAGCGGAAGCCAGACCCCCAGCAGCCAGCCAGCCTCCGGGCCCGCTGCCACCCAAGCACAGAGAGAGCTGCCCCTGCCGCTTCCTCCCAGGACCTGGCTATGGGGACATGGCCAGAAACTCACTTTTGCTTCAGTGGAGACCTCCAGGAACCAGAACTTCACATGCCGATTCCCCACAGTGACGAAATAGCTGCTGTCTTCGGAGAAGGACAGGGCGATGACCCTGCACGACACCTTGTTGGAGGCCACGACAATGTCTTTCTGGAAGAACAAGTCAAGAGAAGCTCAAGGGAGCACCTATCCCATGAGTCGGTTCCTGCTGCTGCCAGCAGCCCTGCATCTCCCCGCTCTCTGCTCCAGCTGTCTTCCCTGGCCTCTCGGGGAGCTGCCTGAGGGGGATCCCCAAGTGGGGCGGGCACACAGTGGCTCTCCGACACGGGCAAATTTGGAAGTCCCAGAGTTTCCCGCAGGAGTCCGAGCTCTGCAGCCACTCATGGTGTGGGTACAGTGCAGCACTGGCTAGGAAGCACGGAAGCCCAGCCCCTGGTGGCACAGAGAGCCCTCTGGCCCCTGAGCCCTTCCCGGGAGTTCCCTCAACAGTCCTACCAGGAAGGTGCTTCTTTCCCCACCTGCCAGGCGGAGGGAGATGCCACATGCTCAAGGTCACTTATAGACAAACACCAGTGCTCAAAGGCTTCCAGTGAGTATCGTCAGCTCATGGAATTATTAAAACTCAGGGTGGGGTCAGAGCGAGAGTACAGAGGGGAAGGCGCTTGCCTCACACACAGCCGACACAGGCTCAATCCCTGGCATTCCATATGGTCCCCTAAGCACTGCCAGAAGTGATTCCTGAGTGCAGAGCCAGGAGAAACCTGAGTACTGCTGAGTGTGGCCCAACCGCCAAAACAAAAACAAAAATACTCAAATGTGGGCTGGAGCAATAGCACAGTGGGTAGGGTGTTTGCCTTGCATGTGGCCCACACGGGTTTGATTCCCAGCAACCCATACGGTCCTCTGAGCACCACCAGGAGTAATTCTTGAGTGCATGAGCCAGGACTAACCCCTGTGCATTGCCAGGTGTGACCCCAAAAAAGCAAAACAAACAAAAAATACTCAAATGTTTATGGAAACAGGTGCTCCATCAACACCGGCTGGGTAAATGAGCACTCTCTCTGGGTTTCGCATTCAGGGTTCTCTGCTGCTCGCCCACACCAGGAGACTCACCTTCCAGTCCCAGACGTTAAGCACCATGTCATGCTGGTAGCCCATGGACACGATATGCTTCATATTGGGGGAGAAGGCCACACAGGCCACACCGTACTTGTGGCCCAGCATCTCTGCCACCTGACTCTTCTCATCCACATCCCAAATGCGCACGGCGGGCCTGTGGCCATTCTGAGGACAGGGGAGGTTTTACCACTGTGGGGCTCTGCACCAAACAGGGCTAAAGGGGCTGTCGGGTTTCAAACTGGCACCGCCCAGGGTGAAGCCACCTCCCTATCTGCCCAGCTCCACCATTCCCATCAAGAGAAGGGACTTCTCTGATACAGGGAGGAGCTACTGCAGGGACCATTCTTGGGAATGACCCCAGGACCCTCCCACCATACCCAGTTGGGATCATGACTCACCTCTCCTGTCACTATGTACTTGCCGTCGGGGGAGAAGGCCAGCGCGCTCAGAGACTTTCTAGAGGCAAGGCATGAGGTTGATCACTGGTTCCCCAGAGAGGGTGAGCAGTCAGTCCCCCCGTCTGTGCTCACAGCTCTCCGGCCCCCTCGACTCCAGGGCTTAGGAGACCAGGAAGGGTGAGCATCTCAGCTTCCTCCCAGTGCCAGCGCTGCCTCGGTGCCTGGCCAGGCATTATGCCCCCGTCACCCTTTCTCCCATTCCAGACCATGGATCCCCAACTGCTCTTCAAACACCCAGGATTCTTGCTGTTTTTTTAGGGGGCCTACACTTGACAGTGTAGCTCACAGCTTACCCCCAGCTCTGTGTTCATGGATCACTCCCACTGGGGCTCAAGGGAACCACATGGGGTGCTGGGGATCAAACCTGGGTTGGCACCACACAAGGCCTCTTATTTACCGCCGTGTACCCAGCACCCGGCCAATACCCAGTGCAGGGCAGACCCTTGGTGAGTGTCACTGTTGGGTGGCAGAGGATCTGAGTTACCTATCTTGTAACACAGGCCCTGTGGGGAGGGGGACATGCCAGCACCCTGGGCCCACCCCAAGCCGGGACCCAGAACACAGCCTACCTGGCTGTATTTAAAATGTGCTGCTGCTTGCTCTCCTTGGGGTCCAAAATCACCACCACACAGCTGCGGATAAAGAAGAAAAAAATGCCCAAACTAAGAGGAGTTCTGAGGGCCAGGAATGATTCCACTTCAACAGAAGAGTCCCTGAACAGATTCTCTCTGATGTCTATACCCCTCTTTTAGAATTTATGCTAAAAACATGAGTGTACCATATTATTAGTAGTAGCATGAATATATACATTTTGGAGAATGAGCATATCTAGCAATGCTCAGGAATTACTCCTGGCGGTGCTTAAGTGACCATACGGGATGCACGGGATCAAACCCAGTGGGTCACATGCAAGGCAAGTGTCCTACTTACTGTACTATCTCTCGGCCCCCGGCATGATTTTTTTTTTCCTCTTTTGGCCCTCACCCATTCACCCCATTAATATATATACATATATATATATTTTTTTGCTTTTTGGGTCATACCCGGCGATGCGCAGGGGTTACTCCTGGCTCTGCACTCAGGAATCACCCCTGGCAGTGCTGAGGGGACCATATGGGATGCTGGGAATCGAACCCGGGTTGGTTGCATGCAAGGCAAACAAACACCCTACCGGCTGTGCTATCTCTCCAGCCCCCCATTAATATATTCTTTGATGGAAACCAAAACCCCCTCTGGGATGGAACAACTGTGAATCTGTTCAGCTCTGGTCTACTAAAGTTCGTCTGGTCTGCTAAAGACCTATTAATCCTCACCACGGAAGTTGAGATTAGGAACCTTAGTCCCATGTTACAGAGGAGGAAACTGAAGCCCAGAGAAGGCAAGTTCTTTACCCAGGGTCACCCAGCAGTTCAGCAGCAGTATGGAAATATCCCACCCTGTCAGATACAGGAGCCCCACCCACTCCCCTCCCAGCCATGCTTCCCCATCCAGATGTCTCCCAAAGACCTAATAACAGCTACTGCTCAGCAGGAATGACTGTGGGACTCTAGCCTGCCCTCTGGGGTGGAGCGCGGGGGTTCCCTTCAGCATCAGCACTTGCCAGGCTAAATGAGTATTTATGAACTAAAATGCAGGATACCCTTTGGTCTCCTCAACCATCCCAGAGCAGGTTAGCACCAATTCCATTATCACCAGACACGGAAACAGACTTGAGAGAGGCAGGTGGGGGAATCAGGACACAGCACCCCTCTTACCCCTACACACACAGGCGCAGAGCTCCTGGCCACCGGTCACTCCCAGGATCGCTGCCCCTCCCACCTCAAGTCAGAGAAAGACTTCTGAAGCACTGGCTACATGCCAGGTCCTGTTCTCAATGGGCCTGGGGGCTCCTGTCCACCTACACCCCACAAAGGACAAGCTGCGGCCTGGAGTCCCTGGCCACGTCTGATCAACCCTGAATTCTGGCAGTGTGGAGGGGCGAGGCCCACCCGCTCACTCACCCTGCCAGGTAGGCCACGTGGCCTGTGCCAGGGTCACAAGTTATGCCACTGCTGTTCTGCGCTGTGATGCCAAGCACCTTCTCGAGGGACACCTGTGGGGAAAAGAAAGGCCCAAGTCAGAAGCACCTGCTCCAGCAGCCATCTGGGCCCCACATTCAGTCCCTACTACAGCCAAACACTCTCCGAGCCCCTACAGTAGGGCAGCCAATAGCCAAGCCTGCTTTCCTTCCACCCAGGGCCCAGAAAGGTGGAGAATGGTGGGACAGACAGCCCAGAATGCCTGCCCCCACCCCACCCCCCAGAGCTTATTCTGACAAGGAGCAAATGGAAGGCACCAAAAAAAAAAAAAAGAGGAAAAAACGTGGAAAAGAGATTTCAGGCGATACTAGAAACAAGAGAATGAGAAAGATCTGGAGCATGTGGAAAGGAGGTGACCTCGTGTACATTATCAGATCTGATGAAAGACTTTGAAACCCACCATCGCCCACCAAAAGAAACTGAAAGTGCCACTAGTGCACAGAGGACAGAAAGGCCCAGAGTCCCTCACCTGCGGACACAAAACCCAGGTAGTGTTACTCTGAAGCCAATAACTGAGGCTGCAAGGGAGACACAAGGAGCTAAGGGGACATTTCCACTTCCCTCAACCAGTTCAGTCAACACGGAAAGATGTGAACCACCACATGAAAAATCTGACCACACAGGCCAGTGGCCATCATGGCTAATTATATAATTTAGAATCTTGAATGACAGAATTATAGTATTCAATCTACAGCATATTCTGTGATCACTAGTTTCTACCTATCAAAAAAATAAGACATTATCATCAAGCAAGTCTCTGGCTCCAAAATGATAATGCTAGGGCTTTAGATAGTTCAATGGACTGAGCATATGCCTGACATCCGAGAGGGCATGAGTTCAATCCCTAGCTCCACCTGCTCCCCATCCACCAAGTATTGCCAGGAGCAACCCCAAGCACAAAGCCAGGAGTGCACCCGCCTCTCAAAAAAAAAAAACAACAACAACAGAAGGAGAAAAGCAAACATCCCATAAAGATAGACAATGTTGGGGCCAGAGAGATAGTCTGATGGGTAAGGCGCTTGCCTTGCATGTGGCTGACCAGGTTCAATATTTAGCATCCCAGATGGTCCCTGGAGCACCATCAGGAGTGATTCCTGACTACAGAGCCAGGATTAACCCTTGAGCATTGCCAAGTTCCCAAAAACTTTTAAAAAAAAGAGAGAAAGAAAGAAGAAAAAGTCAATGTTGGGGCAAGGGAGATAGCCCAGGGATTGCACCTGACCCCAGTTCAACCTCCCCAACCTCCAAGCACTGCCAGGTGTAACCCTGAAGATTCTCAAAGAACATCATTAGTTGTAGTCCTGTTGGTCCTTGAGAACTGGGAAGTCCTGGGCACCGCAAGGCCCGAACAACACAATCTCCTTAGGCCTCTCCATTGAACCACTGACCTGGTTGGCTGAGAATCATGGAGAGGCCCCCAATCATATTTGTATAAATACTTAGCTTATGCTGGGTCGGGGGTGTGACTCTATGCCTGAGGTTTTGGGATCCGTGCCCGGCACAGCAGAGGCAGTGCTAGAGGGGAAGCTAACATGCTATTGAATGTTAACCTGGGGCCGGACCCTGAATATCTGTAACTGTGTATACTGATTTAATGTTCACAATAACCCTGTGATATGGTTACTGATATGGTTACTGTCATAATCATTCTCTATTCCTGATAAAGGAATAGAGAAGTCAAGGGGCTGCCTATCTAGGAATTAGCACTGCTGGGAATCAGTTAAGATGATTTTCAGACTAGCTCAGACTAAGAGTACTTGCAGCTGGGAGACACTGAAGCACAGGCTTCACATACAGGAGCCGAGTTCAACTCTCAACACTGTACAGTCCCCTGAGCACTACCAGAAGGGACTCTTGAAACCAACAAGAGCCCCTGAGCACATTGAGGGCAGAGGAAAGTACAGCAGGTAGGGGTGCTTGCCACGCAAGTGGCCAATGCAGGTTCAATCCCCGGCATCCCCTCTGGTCCCCTGAGACTACCAGGAGTGATCCAGAGTGCAGAATCAGGAGAACCCCTGAGCACCACCGAGTGTGCCCAACATGCCCCTTTCCAAAAAAAGTTTGTGAGCACTGCTAGATGTGGCCTCCAAACACCCTGATCAAAAAAAAGGGTAAGATTACTGGGATTTCCCAAATTGGGCAATACCATCCCCGGGGTAGGGGAGTTGTGGAACCATGAATGAAGGCAGGCACAGCGCAGCAGCCTGGGATACAAATGTGGGGGTTTTCTGTTTACTTAAAGAAGGAAGAGTTCCAGGGCTGGAATGATAGCACAGAGGGTAGGGCGTTTGCCTTGCACACGGCCGACCCAGGTTCGATTCCCAGCATCCCATATGGTCCCCTGAGCATGGCCAGGAGTAATTCCTGAGTGCAGAGCCAGGAGTAAAAACCCTGTGTGTTGCCAGGTGTGACCCAAAAAGAAAAAAAAAAAGGAAGACCTCCATGAGGTACTAAGTGACATTTTTCCCCCTGAAAAGAGGGAGTACACCAAATAAATTTGGGAACCACTAACTGCATAACATGTGAGCTCACATAATCTCCACAAATATACAATAAAGCAACCCAGCACAGAGAGTTCCTAGCAGTAAGAAGAAAGTAAAGGTGTAAGTCTGAGTTGAGCCTGTGCTCTAACCAGTTTGTGGTTCTGCCTCTCTAAACCATGGTTCAAAGTTCACAAGCCACTCAAAGGAATATACAAGACAGGAACTGCAACACGTCCAGGTAAGATGTTAAGATGGATGTCTGCTTTAGTTTGGGGCTCAAGAGGCCTCTCCAGGTAGATTTATCATGATGTTATCTGAGGGCTGAGAAGTCACCCAGGCTGACCGTAGCAAAAAGCCCAGAGGGCTCACTAAATGTAAAGGCTAGGAAAAGCGGGTGCCTCCTGGCAGTGCTTGGGAACCTTATGTAGTTATGGAATCAAACCAGGCTTAGCTGCATGCAAGGCAAGTGCCCTAACATAACAGGCCTGTATGACTAAACCTTGGGGAATAAGCAGAGAGGTGACACTGGCCCAGAGGTCTTGCTGCCAGGAGCAGTTAATGTCATTAGCCTAGAGCAGGAAGCAACAGAGCAGAATCAAGATCTATCTGCAGGTTATAGTCACAATTTCACTGCCCTCAAACTCCAACGTACTGGCTGTTACCTCCAGTTTATCAAAAGAGGTTATGAGGCTCTGAGAGTTAAACACTTTTTAAAACTGCTGCTGTATGGAGCCAGAGAGCTCTATGGGCTAGAGAGCATGATTTGCATGCAGGAGGCACAGGTTCAATCCCTGGCACATAGTCCCCTAAGCACCAAAAAGAGTGATCCCTTCCCTAGCACTGAGCGGAGACAAGTCTCTGGGAACCACCCCAAAATAAAAAAGCTTAAATACAGCTGCAGTTGCTACTATCAAATGATTTACAAGTATTATCCACATAATGGGGAAGTAACACATCCAGCTCAAGCCTTACTCCTGCTCTGTGCTCAGGGATCACTCCTGGCAGTATTCGGGGGACCATATGTGGTTTCAAGAAATCAAACCAGGTGCAAAGCAAGTGACTTAATCCTCTGTACTATCTCTCTCGCCGTTATTCACATAACTTTTTTTAAATGGCAATATGCACTAGGAGGCCCACCTTGGTAAGAAAAAAGGGAAGCAATGACAGAAGTGAGAAACTGTTGATGGGCTGCGGGAAAATTAGCTTTAAGTAGAATTCCAGACTGCATCCTGGGAGGGACCATCGACCAAGAGGAGGAGAGTAAACAAAATGGCAAGAGCGGAAGATGTGATCATGGGATGGATATTAATAGAATAAAAACGCTCTGAGGACTGAATACAGGGTAGAGGCAAGGGCACCCTAGAAAGCTCCAAGGGGCCTGACTGAAACTGAGGACCAAGAAATGACGGGCGGCACCCCGGAGAAAATGAGAAGGTAGGAGGAGCTTCAGCTGGACAGGCGTGGCTTTGGGTGGGCGCGCCCGAAGCTCTAAGAGCGGGGCCGGGGGCCGCCCTGGGGGCCTGGGAACCGATTTGGGCGGGGCCAGAAGCTCCTTACCCGGTTCTGCACGGTGTCGTCCGACGCCGCGGTGAGTCGCGTCCGCCGCCGGAGGCAGAGCGGCGGGGCGGGGGGCGGGGAGGACTGGACCCTCCGCGCCGGAACTCCGGCCAGGACGGATGGCAGCTTGTCAACCGCATCGTTCCGCGCATAGCCTCCAGGCCCTAAGGTCGCCATCGTCGCGTCGGAGCTGGGTGACCGTTACACTCCTCAACCGGCGCCGCCGCCGAGACCCACTCGAACTGCGAACGGCCGCGGGAAAGGAGGCGCCGCTGCCCATTGGACGGGGCAGGCTGCCGGTCTGGCCAATCTCAGGGCTGCCGGGTGGTCCTTGGGGCCAATGAGAACCAGGAGGCGGGCCAGTGTCTGGTTGGGTGGGGCTACGGCAAATCTACTTGATGTTTGATCGAGCGCTGTGTTTTGTTTTGTTTTTTAAACCCAACATATTTTTATAATTCCCTGGATTATGCTGCTCTTAATTTCGAGACTCCCGAGCCCCCTCACCTGGCTGTTTTGTTGCCCCTCCAGAGCGACTATTCAGGCTGTGGCTGTGCCCCGGATGTAAGCGCAGGGCGGGCCTGAAGGACGTGGGCCAGCGGGCGCCTGCTCCGCAAGGCCAGTAATGGCGCCGCTCCCTCAGCACGTGACCAAGCCCCGAGGGCCGAGAGTGGGCGGACACGGGCTCCCTGTTCCCGTGGCACGTGACACGGGCGCGGCTGCGCCAGCGCCGCGGGCCCTGCAGTAAGTAGGCGTTCCTGTCCCTCCGCGGCAAGTGATGAGCTACCGAGGGCTGTCACGTGAAGCTGCCTGAGCTAGCGGGCACGGACGGGGCGCCGGGCGAGAACCAAAGTGCGGCTGCAGCCGGGGCAAAACCCAGAGGGGCTGGAGAGCCATGCCCAAGTACTGCCGCCCTCCGAACTGCTCCAACACCGCGGGCCGGCTGGGTGTGGACAACCGCCCTGTGAGCTTCTACCAGTGAGCGCGAGCGCGGTGGGGCCTCGGGGCGCTGCAGCGGGACTGGCCCTTGGTCCGCCCGGCAGGTGTCTAGCGTTCCAGGGAAGGTAGTACCCACAGCCCAGCTGCATAAATAATGCACATGCCAAGCGCGAGTATGCGAAACCCCTGCGGGGAAAAGCGAATGAGCTGCAGGTAGTGATCGGGGTGAGCGGAAGGAAGGAAGGTGGTTAGGGAGAAGTGAGGTTGGTTCAGACTCTGATAGGAGCCAGTAATTGCCCACTGGCCAGCACCACAACGTTGAGGCATCTCAGACTCAAAAACATCAGAAATTGAACTGATGTTGACTCTCACCTAACTCCCACCACCTCTCAAGCTTAATGGTTTTCTCCATCCTTTCTATTATTCAGGTTAGAAACTCTAAAGGTGCTGTCACACCCAGCAGTGGTCAGGGGTTACTCTTGACTCTGCACTCAGTAATTATTCCTGGCGGTGCTCAGGGGACCATATGGGATGCTGGGTATCACACTCCGATTGACTGCGTGCAAGGCAAAACACCTTACCTGCAGTACATGGCTCCAGCCCCCTTGGACCAGAAACTTTAGAATCATCCCTATCTGTTCACTTTCCTCACACTTGAGAAAGTAAAAATTGGCTTGAATTGTATATAAATGTCTTCACATAAATTTTCATGTAGAAGGGGTCAGGAAAGAGTTAATAGGGAAAATGGTCTATGTTTTTCTCAGGGACATACTGCAGATATCAAGTGATACATCTCCCCTTTTTGTGTGACTACTGCTTTCTTCTTTTTTGGGTTACACCTGGCTCTGCACTCAGGAATTACTCCTGGAGGGGCTCAGGGGGCCATATGGGATGCCAGGGAACAGGGAACAGGGATCATAGCCGGGTTAACTTTGTGCAAGGCAAGTGCCTTACTCTGGCCCTACTATTGCTTTCTTACAAGAAAACTTTTTCTCTAAAATCTTAGACTTTTAGGGGCTGGAGCAATAGCACAGCGGGTAGGGCGTTTGCCTTGCATACAAGCCAACCCGGGTTCGATTCCCAGTATCCCATATGGTCCCCTGCGCACCACTAATAGTAATTCCTGAGTGCATCAGCCTAGAGTAACCCCTGTGCATCTCTGGGTGTGACCCAAAAAGAAAAAAAAAAACTTAGACTATTACAGTGGGTAGGTCTACAGAAATATTTTCTTTCTTCACTTTTATAGGGTCATCAGGGAAGGAGGGATCTGAGCAGAGAAGGAACCTGGTCTGACTCAGGTTTCACAGGGTCCCTGGAATTTCATATAGAGAACAGCCTGTGGGGGCAGAATGCCCAATGAACTAAACTTGGGCAGAAACTAGTATAAAAGAAAAAGGTGGGAACAGAAAAGGGAGTTGGAATTGGCCAAATCCAGATAGATTTCCAAAGGAGAGCTAACAGAATTTATGGAACTCTTTTTTTTTTTTTTTTGGCAGGGGGGCACACCCAACAATGCTCAGGAGTTACTCTTGACTTTTCACTTAGGAATGACACCTGGCGGTGCTTAGGGGATCATATAGTGTGCTGGAATCAAACCCAGTTTGGCTTCTTGCAAAGCAGATGCCCTATACTGCTCTCTCTTTCCAATCCCAAAGACAGGGATTTTTCTCTGATTTCCTTTGCCATTTCAGGGGCTGGAGAGATAGTACAGCAGGTAGGGCATTTGCCTTGCATGCACTTGATCCTTGGCATCACATATAGTCCCTGAAGCAGTGCCAGAAATAATACCTGAGTATAGAGCCTGAAGTAACCCTGGAGCACCCCCAGGTGTGCCCCCACCAAAAAAGAAAAAAAATCCTTTGCCTGGAGTGCTGCTTTACACATACATGGTGCTCAGTAAATGCCCATTGCACAGATTTGACCAGCGCATTTCAGCTGGGCCCCATGGGAAGCCCATGTTCCCACAAGCTCTTAGGGGCCTTAGAGTGCAAGGACAGCAGAGGACTCCTTACACTATAATTTAGTTTTTCCAGACTTAGTCTCTAAAACTATCACTCTGGCAATGTTTACTACTTTAGAAACTCTTGGGGGGCTTTTTTAGGGGGGGTTGGATTTGGGGTTGCTGCTTCAACACTACTAATTTAGTAACTCTAAATTAGTTAACTTTAGTAACTAGTTTAGCTGCCTCCTGGAGAACCAGCCCCTCCAAGACAGACAGCTCTAAGTACAGTGGTAGGTGTGGGTGGTCAGCAGTGAAGAACTGAGTTGAGAGTCTCAAGTTTACCATGATCCCTCTGCCCCTTATTTTGTTTGTCTGGGCGCTACACCCAGTGGTTACTTTGGCTCTGCACTTAGGGATCACAGTGCTCGGGGGACCATGTGGGATTCTAGGGATCGAACCTGGATCAGCTTTATGCAAGGCATGCTCCATATCCACTGTACTAATACTCCATTCCCCCCCCTTTTTTTGGGGGGCCACACCCTCAATACACAGGGGTTACTCCTGGCTCTGCACTCAGGAACCACCCCTGGCGGTGCTCAGGGGACCATATGGGATGCTGGGAATCGAACCTGGGTCAGCCGTGTGCAAAGCAAATGCCCCACCTGCTGTGCTATTGCTCCGGCCCCTCCCCCATCACTTTTTTTTTAATTAATGAATTGTGCCCCATCTCTTCATTTTTGTCATAGTGCCCAGGGCTTGCACTCACACTTGGCTGTGGTGCAGCCAGAAGTCACTTTCAAGTGCCAATGCTAGTGTTAGCATGAAAATAGATTTATTCCTGAGCTGTGAGTTCTTGAAAATTGTGTGAAAGATCTGCATCCAAAACTCAGAAGTTTAAGAAATTAGAGTTTATGGCACAGTTTAAATAGATGGGTCCAGTTTCTTCCCCAATGTCCAGACCTCTCCTTTTACTGTCACATTTCCTATCCATTGATGTCTGGTTCAGCGTATAACATCCTGTTCCATGCTCTGGTCTTGTCCCTAAGCTATCCTCCATCCAGTATACACTTTCCTAGTCTGAAATCTGCAGCTAGAACCCTGTAACCTATGTCCACTGCTAGGGCTTGCAGCTCTGTAACCTGTCACAGGACCTCTAGGACTATACCCCAGCAGCTTCCTGTCCCTTCGGTTTTCCTGGCCTCTGGCCACATGCAGGATCTCTGATGACCTGCCAGCTGTTTGGGCATTAGGTGAAGTGAGTAAAGAGAAAGTTTCCTGGTCCAGAGCATTAGTACAGCAGGTAGTGCATTTGTGGCTGACCCGGGTTCAATCCCTGGCATCCCATATGGTCTCCCAAGCACTGCGAGGAGTAATTCCTGAGAGCAGAGACAGGAGTAGCCCCTGAGCATCGCTGGGTGTGACCCTAAAAGAAAAAGAAAGAGTTGTCTAGCTGGAGCTTCCTTTTTGTCTTCTGCTGTTTCCCACCTCCAGCCTCCAGCATCTCCTTTGATTAGATATCTTTTCAGAGTGTTGAAAGGATCAACAGGATTAACTTGTTCACTCACCTTCCACTCCTACTGCCTCACTAGGACCAGGGCTGCCAAGGACTAGCAGCAGAATTTGTCTAGAGCTATAGGTCAGTGGTGGAGCATTTAGCTTGTTTGAGGCCCTGACTCTGATCCTTGATACCCCATACTCAAAGGAAGACAATATCCAGGATTAGAGGGAGAGGTCAAAGTGCTGGGATACATGGTTTTCCACTGCCTGGTGCTAAACCTGGGTATCCCCTGACAATTGCTGAGTGTCACCCTAAAATAAAAATGCAGCTGAGCTACCAGGATCTCGCTCAGCACATGTAGCAACACTGGGGCTTGACCATGTAACCTTATACTGACTTTTTTTCAGCACCCCTGTCCCCCAACCCAGCCACCAGCCCGTCTTTTGACTCTCCCCTCCAAAAACATTCCAATCTGCAGCAAATACAGCAAAATCCTAATGCCTTGACAGTACAGTTAGAAACAAGTGGAAAGGGCCAATTCCCATCATCCCTTATGGTCCCTGGAGCACCACCAGGAGTGATTCCTGAGTACAGAGCCAGGAGTTACCCTTGAGCACCACCAGGCATAGCCCCAAAACAAACAAAAACTGGGGGGCCCTGGGGGGATAGTACAGTGGGTAAGGTACTTGTCTTGCAAGCAGCCAACCTGGATTGGATCCCCAGCATCCAATATGGGGTGCTAGGGATCAACTTGGGTCAGCTGCATGCAAGGCAAGTGCCCTGCTGGCTGTACTATCTCTCCAGCTCCTGCCAGTCTTGCAAATGCTACTTAGCTAAGAGTTGGGTGAGGAGTTCCTTTCGGAGAAGATTCAGGAGAGGACATAGATGCTGGGTAGGAAGAGGTGAAGCATTGAGAGAGATGATTGCTAGAAAATAACTTGAAAGCCTTCCCAGAGGCTCAGGGAAACGTATGAAAGGTTCTTTCGAGAATGGTGAAAATCATCTCTGTAATCGCGGTGGGGAGGGGGCGGATATCAGTTCAGAATTCCATCTGGCACTAACAAAATCTGAAATCACAGTGGCATAAACAAACTATGGGCTGTAGGAATAACTTTACAGGCTCAAGACCTCAAGCTCAACCCTTGTGGCATCACCTCATCAACTAATGCAGTCCCTGCCACCACCGCCAGTGTGATCCACAGCACAACACAGTTGACCTGGGATGCACCACGGTCAAGCGCATGACTAGACAGAAGAACAGCAAGAGCCAGAGTGATAGTACAGCCGGAAGGGCACTTGTCTTGCAAGCTGCCTACTTGGGTACTAGCTCCAAATCCCATATGGTCCCCCGAGCCTGTCAGGAGTGATCCCTGAGTGCAGAGCCAGGAGTAATCCCTGAGCCTCGAAACAGAACCTCTCCCAAAAGTAACCCCAGGTGTGGTCAAAAAAAGACAAAAAGAACAACAGTGGAGGAAAGGGAAGTGTGAACAAGCCAAAATGCAGGGGTTGGCTGGGCAACCTGCACACCACGTGATCAGGGAAGCCGGCCCAGTCTTTGTGCTCTATCCTTAGCATGCAGTTTCCATCCGAGGTGGCTGCCAATGCCCCAGCCCTCAAGCCCTGCCAGTTCTAGAAGGAAGAAAAGGAAAACAGTGAAAGGAATTTAATCTGAATTAGTCCCCTCTACTGGGGCTGGAGCCATAGCACAGCAGTAGGGCGTTTGCCTTGCACGCAGCCAACATGGCCGACCCGAGTTCGATTCCTCCGCCCCTCTCGGAGAGCCCGGCAAGCTACCGAGAGTATCTCGCCCGCACGGCAGAGCCTGGCAAGCCACCCGTGATGTATTCGATATGCCAGACACAGTAACAACAAAATCTCCAATGGAGACGTTACTGGGCCCGCTCGAGCAAATTGATGAACAATGGGAGGGCCTTTAGTCCCCTCTACAAACCCTTCCCAGAAACACACTGTCCCCTAGCATGCCCAGCTGTAAAGAAGGCTGGGAAATGTAGTCTTGAACTGTTTTTGTCTTGTTTTGGGTCACACCTGACTGTGCTCAGAGCTTACTCCTGACTCCACCCCGGGATCACTCCTGATGGGCTCAGGCAGACATACAGGATGCCCGGGATTGAACCCAGGTGTTCTAGCTACTTAACTACCCTTTATTAGGGCACCAGCTCTAACTGTTTTTTGGTTGTGGTTTTGTTTGTTTGTTTTTCAGCAACCCTGAAGAAATTTTGGGTTACTTTAGGAAAAAACTTCTAGTAGTGTATGCTGCTTTGTGTTCTAAGGCAGTGGTTTTCAACCTTTTCTCTGCAGACCAGCTGGAGTCCTTGGATCAGCAGTTAAAAACTCACTGCTTGGGACTGGAGAGATAGTACAGCATATAGTGCACAAAGTCGACCTGGGTTCAATCCCCAACACCCCATATGGTCTCTCGAGTACTCCCAGGAGTAAACCCTGAGCATCCCTGGGTATAGAACCTCCCTCCCTCAAACAAAAACAAAACAACAACTCTGTTCTCCAGGTCTGTCTTGAAGATTTTTCTTTTGGGTATTATTTTCCTCACGGCAGAGCCTGGCAAGCCACCTGTGATGTATTATATATGCCAAACACAGTAACAACAAAATCTCCAATGGAGATGTTACTGGGCCCACTCAATGAATGGGAGGGCCTTTACCTTTACCTATTATTTTCCTCATTCTCCTGTTTAAAATCAGTAACGAAATATTTAAGAGTCACAATATTGTATCACTTTGTGGCTGGGAGGGGGCTGTTTGTTTTTATTTTGGGGCCACACCCAGCAGTGTTCACTGCTTACTCTTGGCTCTGAGCTTGAGAATCACTCCTGGCAGGGCTTGGGGCAGGGGGTGTTGGGGGGACCATATATGGTGCCAGAGGTTGAATTTGGGTCAGCTGCATACAGGGCAAGTGCCCTGCCCACTGTACTATCTCTCTGGCCCCCACATCTTTGAATCTCAAGTAGCATCCTTCATGTCTCACATAACACAAAGTGTTCTTTGTCCAGTTACTTGGTCCCACCAGCTATAAAGGAACTGGTGATACAGCCTTATTGGGCCCGCTATGGCCTGAAGTAAAGTTGCACTTTTGTTGATAGGAGAGGAGGGGCAGACAGGAAGTGATCAGTTGGCTGCCCTGCAGGGGAGTGGGTGCGATTGCTGCTGCAAGGGACTCCCTGTGTGTCCAAGCTGAGTGGGGCTGTTGAGTGTATCTGACTCCTAAATGGAGGCAGCCAGCCTGCAGCAGGCAGGGCTCCTGGCTGTGTGCCTGGGCGCTCTGCACTCTTCCCTGAATCAGCTCCCCTGGCCTTCGGCTCTGACTACCCCACCTTCCCACAGTTAACCTTCCGCCTGAGAAGTCCTGCTCTCCAGACTCCCTTCCTCTTCCTTTTTAACACAGAGCAGAGCTAAGAACCCTAAGGAGGTAGCTGGGATTTTATTAGTTGTTTGTAAGTAGATTTTTGGGGTCAACCCCTGTGGTGCTCTTGAGTGACTGCCAACTCTGTGCTCCTGTTATTCCTGGCTATGCTCCGGGGGCCATGTGGTTCTGGGGATGGAATCAGGGTCAGCCACATGGAAGGGAAGGTGGCACCTTGACTCCTGCAAAGCTCTCTGGCCTATCTAGGTATTTTTATTATTAACTTCAATTTCTAGGGACTGGAGAGTACAGGGGTACAGGTGCTTGCCTTGGCCATAATCAGCCATGTTTGCCAGGGGTTGCTGTGGTACTCACAGTTGTACTCATCAGGATTGCACTTTCTGGCCATGGGGCTCATGCATCCTTCTTGTTTGTGGGGGCTGCACTCTGTTGTGCTCAGGAATTACTCCCAGCTCACTGCTCAGAAGTTCCTCCCAGCAGTGCACAGGGGGCTCTGTGGTACTGATGATTAAATCCCAACTTCCTACATGCAAAACTTGTGCTCCAGGCCCTTGAGCCACAAACTCCGCCCCCACCAGTCCTCACACATCATTTTTAGTTGTAGGGCTTACTGGGGGGGTCACATCTTTTAGTTGTGGCACTCACGCACAACTGGTTGTGGTGTGGCCAGAAATTGTTTGCAGCAACAGGTATCCCAGAGAGCAGAAACTGTCAGGATTGTGTCCAGAGTAAGTGGGGCACTGGGGTTTGAACATGCAACCAGATACTTCCTGGGCAGATTTTCTGTACCATTCCTCCAGGTTCCTTTGTTCTGTTGTTTGTATTTGATAGTAACCATTCTAATGGTAAGAAGATATCTTGTAGGGGCTGGAGCCATAGCACAGCGGGTGGGGCATTTGCCTTGCACATGGCTGACCTGGATTTGATTCCCACCATCCCATATGGTCCCCCAAGCACCACCAGGAGTAATTCCTGAGTGCATGAGCCAGGAGTAACCCCTATGCATCACTGGGTATAACCCCCCCCCCAAAAAAAGAAGATATCTTGTATTTTTTTTGGGGGGGAACGTGTTGGGCCACACCTTCAGATGTTCAGGGGTTACTCCTGACTCTGCACTGGGGGGGCTACATGGGATGCTGGGGCTCAAACCTAGATCAGCCATGTGCAAGACTTATCCTCTGCACTATCACTCCAACCCTGTTTTTGTTTTTTGGGTTTTTATTGTTTGTTTTTGGACCAAACCTACCTGTAATCAGAGCTTACTCTTGGCTCTGCACTCAGGAATTCCTGCTAGCAGATTTGGAGGACCACATGTGGTGCCAGGAATAGAATTGCAGGAGGCCATGTGCAAGGCTACTATGCTGTCACTCTGGCCTCCTAACACCTTGTGATTTTGAGTGCAGAGCCAGGAGTAACCCAAAAAAGGAAAAAAAAATGAGGGGCCAGAGAGGTAGTTCAGTGAGCACTTGCAAGTGGCTAACCTCTTTGATCCCTGGCACCCCATACAGCCCCTGGAGTACTGCCCAGACTAATCCCTGGGCCCAGAAACAGAAATAAGCACTGAACACTGCAGGATGTGGTCAAAAACAAAGGTGACAAATGACCCACTTTAAAAATGAATGTACATGGGGGCTGGAGCAATAGCACAGTGGGTACGTCGTTTGCCTTGCACGCGCCTGACCTGGGTTCGATTCCCAGCATCCCATATGGTCTCCTGAGCACCACCAGGAGTGATTCCTGAGTGCAAAGCCAGGAGTAACCCCTGAGCATTGCCGGGTGTGACCCAAAAAGAAAAAAAATAATGAATGTACAGGGGCTGGAGTGATAGCACAGCGGGTAAGGTGTTTGTCTTGCACATGGCCAACCCAGGTTCAATTCCCAGCATCTCATATGGTCCCCCGAGCACCAGGAGTAATACCTGAGTGCATGAACCAGGAGTAATTCCTGTGCATCGCAGCGTGTAACCCAAAAAGGAAAGGAAAATAAAAGACTATACAAGATTTGAATAGATCTTCTAAGACACAAGTGACCAATATGCATATGAATATGTGCTCAACCATACTATGCACTCAGGAGTTACTCTGGGCAGTGCTCAGGGGACCGTATGGGATGCTGAGAATTGAACCTGGGTTGGCCGAGTGCAAGGCAAATGCCCTACCTGCTGTGCTATCGCTCCAGTCCCGCCCCTCATTATTTTGTTATCTAAAACACATTTATCTGGGTTGGAAAGTATACAGCAGATAAGTAGGTAAGGCGCTTGCCTTGCACATGGTTAACCTGGGTTTGATCCCCAGCACTCCGAATGGTCCCCCAAGCCAGCCAGGAGTGCTCCCTGAGCACAGAGCCAGAGGTCACTGGTTGGCTGTGGCCCCAACACAAACAAAAGCAGCTGTGGGTGCTGAGAGGCAGCGCCAGGGTCCGAGATGCAGGGGAAGCGCAGGTTGGAGCTCATGATCTCAGGCCTTGGCTAGCCCCGTGACCCGGTGGCCTCAGGTTCCCATTGAAGGATGGACCCCGGCTGCAGGCCTGGCTGCGCCACATGGGCCGTGATTACTGGGTACCCAGCTGCCACCAGCACCTGTGCAGTGAGCACTTCACACCCTCCTGCTTCCAGTGGTGCTGTGGGGTGCGCTATCTGCGCCCCCGATGCGGTGCCTTCCATCTTCTCTGGGGCACCCCCGGCCCAGGTGAGAACCTGATGTTTAAATCCCCTATGCCTCCCCCCACGCCCTGGATGTCCACCCACCCACTCTGTGCCCCTTCCCCGCTTCCGTGGAGACCCGCCCACACTCCAGTCTCTTCTTGCAGAGACTGAGGAATTCCGGGAACCCCCAGAAGTCCAAGGTGCTCCCACCGCCTCCGCAGGAAGCCCCACACCCTGCCGGCCCGGCCCCTGAGGCCGCCATACACTTGGTGCTGCTGGAGCCGGCGCCTGCAGACCCGGAGACCCCCGCGGGCCGGGCGCCGCTGGCTCCCGAAGGAGCCGTCCCCACCCCGTTCTCCCGGGCCCGGCTGGGCGCGGCGCTGGGAGCTCTGCGGCGGAGGGTGCGGCGGCTGCAGCGGCGGCGCCAGGCGCGGCACCGGGAGCAGCTTCGGACCTTGGAACATCTGGCGCAACAGCTGCGCGGGCGAGCCTGCGGGCCCCCCGCGCAAGAGCTGCGCGCGGTGAGTGAGGCCAGCCCTGGCCCTGCCAGCCCCGCAGCGCGCGGCCTCTTGCAAACCTGGGGCCAAACATCAGACCTGGTTCCCCCATGTTGCCACCCGCCCGACTTCCCCGGGAAAAGATGAACGCCTGCTTGCTCCACTGTCACTGTCACTGTCCTCCCTTTGTTCATCGATTCGCTGGAGCGGGCACAGTAACGTCTCCATTGGAGACTTTGTTGTTACTGTATTTGGCCTATGGAATACATCACGGGTAGTTTGCCAGGCTCTGCACTTGCTCCATGTGTTAATATATCTAAGGAGCCCCATCTGCCCTGCCGGACATAGGCTAGTCGATAAAAACTGCCTTTGACCGCTGCTGTCCCCATTTTCCAGATGCTAAAACAAGAGGCACAAAAATGAATCAGTAACTTGCCCAGGGCAGCAAACCGCAGACCTGGCAGTGCCAGCTGCAGAGCCCCTGACAGGGCCAGTCAGCCAGGACTGCACTTGGCCCTTTTGCTTTGTTATGCTTTTCTTCCCACTTTGGGGCCATATTCCACAGAGCTACGCAGAGAATCAAACCCAGGACCTCACACATGCAAGGCAAATGCTCAGGCCACATCCCTAGATGCTCAGGCCACACCCCTATACTTGGCTTTTCTGTTTGAGACCCTGGTCTGAACCTGCCCGGACACAAGAGGGACTAAGAATGGGGCAGTGTCAGACTCGGGCTGGCCTGCTAGGGCCCCTGACTGACTGTACCCCTGTCCCTAACCCCATTCACACCCTCTCCCCCTTCTCTAATTGCTAACCCTCCCACCTTGGTTTTTGTCTCTGTCCCCCATGCCTCTGTCTCCCTGGGTCTACATCATTCTGTGGCTCCCATTTCTCCCATTCCGTTCCTCTTCCCCTATATTTCTCCTGTCCCCTACATTTCTACATTTTTCCTCTTTCTGTGTCTCACCCCCCCCCCCCCACCCCCTTCTTCCTCCATGCCTCATGCCTGCTGGCCTGGGAATGGCTCTGGTACTCACATCTTTGTCCTTTATTTGACATCCATCTGCCCCCACTGCCTCTCTCTCTGCTTCTGGCACTGCCCCCTCCCCACCACAACCCTGACCTCCCCTTCCTTACCATGTCTTCCCCCATCCCTTTCCCTAATAATCTCCAACCCCCACTACTTCTTCACCTGGAACCGCCCAGCTTCTCCGACCTGAGGAGTCTCAAGTCTTCACCATCATCTGTGGATGGTTCAAAATAGCTGTAGTCCTCAGCCAGGGCCCCATGACCCCCACTCTGGATGCCAAACCTGAGCTTCTGGACTGCGAGACCCCTGGTGCATAGGACCTGGAAGAGGATATCGCAGCACTGGTGACAAGACAGAGGGAGAGACTCATCACTCCCTCTCCCCCAGGACCCCCATGAAACACCTCCCTCAAAGGCCTGGCTCTCACCCCATTCTGCCTAGGTACCCCATGAACCTTTGAGCTCATACTCTGCCATTGGGTACCAGGTCCTGGCCCCATGAAGCCTGAACATTTGCAGTTAGTGGAGCAGGCTCAGCATTGCCAGAGCCTCTTGGTGGTGGTGGTGGTGGTGGGGAGTTGAGTTTGTCCCCAAGAGGCCCTCTACCCTCTGGCAAACCTGGTACCGTGCTGGGGGTGGCAGTGAGCACTGATAGTTTTGTCTGTCAGCACCGCCCTACCCTCAGCTGGAGAAGAGAAACTAATAAACCAATAAACACAGCTGCTCCAGATGGCGGAAGTGCTGTACCTGAAAATGGGGGGACAGGGCCCGGGGGCAGGGGAGAGGACCACTCCCAGAAGTGAACAGTAACTAGGATGGGATAGAGGAGCTAACAGACACTGTGTTTTTCAGGGAGTACAACCCCTGCTAGTGCTCTGTTATCTCGGGTGTCAGCACCCAGCATGGCTCGGGCACTAAAGCAGGGAAGGGTTGAGTGCAGGCTTCGCAGGCAGGAAACTTGGGTTCTTCACCCTTCATCCTACACCGCAGGTCCCTTGAACACCACTCAGAGTAACCCTCTCCGCCCCCTGACGGTGGAGCTGGGAGCAGCCCCTGAGCACCACTGGGTGTGGCTCCTTAAAAATTCTAAATAAGGGGCTGGAGCTATTGCACAGTGGGTAGGGCACTTGCCTTGCATGCAGCCGACCCGGGATTTCATCTCCAGCATCCCATATGGTCCCCCAAACACCGTCAGGAGTAATTCCTGAGTGCAGAGCCAGGAACAACCCCAGAGCATCGCCAGGTGTGACCCCAGGCAAAATATATAATACCACACAGATAAAGTGCTTGCCTTGGTGAACCATGGTTTATTCCCGACACTCCCAGGCCCCACCAGGAGTGATCCCTGAAGCACAGCCAGGTATGGCCACAAATAAAAAACAGCCAAAAAGAAATTTAAACCCACTAAAAGAAAACTAAAGGTGGGGAGGGAGTGGGGTGCAATTTTAGGAAGAGAAGAGGTCTCCCAAAAAAGGGCACTAAAGGGTGAATGTCTAAAGGAGGAAGAGAAGCTGGCACCTGGGGCAAGATCGCTGTGGGCAAAAGGAAAAGGCAGCGCAAAGGAGTGAGGAGAAGCGGGCAGGCAAGTAAGTTGGGGTGGGTGGAGGAAGGGTCTCATGGGCTGGTGGTGGTACAGCAAGCCAAGTCAGTATCAGAGGAGACAATAAGGAAGGCCCTGTTGTGTTAATAGCCCCCTAAGCTTGCAGACAGGGAACACAGGGTGCGGGGAAAGGGGGTGGGTGACAGGGGTGAGGGACTGGGAGAAGAGGCCACAGGCTTCTGCCACAATCAGGGGAGCTAGGAAAGGATGAGGGATGAGAGCCTGCTGTGGTGGGTAAAGGGTGAAATTCCAGAAACATAATATGTATGTATATATACTACACGCACACACAAACACACACTCATAAAGCTTAGGGGCCACATCTGGCAGTGCTCAGGGCGTACTTTGCTTTGTGTGCAGGGATCCTAATTCCCTGTACTAACTCTCTGGCCCTGGAGATGAAATTTTAAAGCCTTTTTTTTTTTTTTAAATAGACCTCACTCAGCAGTACTCAGAGGGCCAGGTGCTTTGGGGTTGGGGTGAGAGGCCTACCATCCCAGGGATTGAACTCGGGGCCTTGCGCATGCTAGTCTCTGCTCTGCTACTTGAGCCATCTCTGCCGTGGCTCCCATCCCCGAGCAGATGCAGAGCGTGGGCTCCAGCCCTTTCTGGTTCTGCCCACCAGGATGACAGGGCTGGAAGGGAAGGTCACTCAGCCCCAAGGCTGAGTGATGGAAGGTGTAGGTCACTGCCAGCTGGGTGTGACAGCCTTGTCAGTACCTGAGTGGCCTCTGGGATGTCAAGATCTACAGTATCTGAGAGAACTGAGGGGCGCTTTGGCAGATGTGTCCTGAACAGTTACAGCCATAGTGTTGGAAAGCTGGGCCTCTACACCCTGGCTTTTCAGAGTTCGAAGCCTTGGTTCCAGCACCTACTAGCTGTGTGCCTTGAGAAAGCGACCTGACCTCTCTGGGCTGGCTGAACGCTCTGTGATGGTAATGATGATCACGGGGTCGGTCAAACATCATTTCTTGGGACACCCCTTTTATTATGGGGCAGAAATTTGAGATTACCGAGGCAAAAGCTCCCCCACTGAGCCCCCATCCTAATTGGTCCTTTTACAGTTCTGCGGGAAGGTCCCACGGAGGGGGGGGGGGCGATGGAGACAGATAAAAACAAACAAAAAATGAAGCGTGTTTCACACCCCCGTCCCTCTCCTTCGGGGGTCTCGGCCGTTTCCGTCTCCCGAGCCTGCACCCTGCGCGGCCACCTCCTCGTTCTCGCCCCATCCTCGGCGTCTGCCCGCTCGCCCGCCGCCTCCCAGGCTCTCCTCCCCCGCGCCCAGTCGGAGCGGGGAGGGGGGGGGAGGGTGTGCCAAGGCGCAGGCGCACACGGAGCCCCTCCCTCTCCATCCCCCTCCCCGAACGGCGTCTGGGCCTCATCCCCGTCTCTCTGTCTCCCTCTCCTCCCCCTCCGCTTCCCCCGACACCGACACCCCGTTACTCCAGTCTCCCCCGCTTCAGCCGGGGTTTCCAGCGTGGGGTGCCCGAGGTGAGCAGGGAGCTGGAGGGGAGGCCGGCGGGGAAGGGGAGGGGCGAAGCATCCTGCATCCCGAGATAAACAAACCGGGGAGGGGGCGGCCTAGACTCGGGGCCGCCGCCGCGGGAGCAGAAGAATGGGGGGCTGGGCCTCCGGGAAGGGGTGGGCGCTGGACCCTCAGGCCGCGCTCCTCGGATGAGTGCCGAGCGGCCCTCGGGTTGCTCCCAAGCCGGAGCTGGGGGCGTGGGGAGCCGCGGAGCTCCAGAGAACTGTGGGGCGCCCCGCTAGCTGACCTCAGCCTTCAGGATTCGCCTGAAGGTCGCCCCCAACTCTGCCCCCCGCACCAGGGCCACTGAGCACCATGACTAAGACAGATCCTACCCCGATGGCCCCGCCGCCTCCCCGGGGCGAGGAGGACGAAGAGGAGGAGGAGGATGAGGAGCCTGCCCCGGAGGCTCCCAGCCCCACCCAGGAGCGCCGGCAGAAGCCTGTGGTGCACCCCTCGGCACCTGCCCCTCTCCCCAAGGACTACGGTAACGACTTCCCCAGGCCTGGGGTGGAGGTGGGGGAGAATGGGGGGGTTCTGAATATCTGAATATGGTCCTGAGGAGTCTTGGCTGATGCTCCCCTGGACTTCCAATCCATTCACTCATTGGAGAATGGAAATAGACTAATCCTGATATTTGATTCGTGACACATCATTGAGTAGTTCAACAAAGAGTTAAATGCCTGTCATGGACCTGGTTATGTGTTAGGAGCTGGGGTCACAGCACAGTCTCAAAAAGACCCAGTCTTTGGCCAAAGAGTACTCTCGGGAGTACCAACCACGTACATAAGAATAAAAATAGTAGGTAAAGATAGGAGTACACGATGAAAATTCTGGTTGCCAAAAACAGGGTGTTGGAAAAGCTGTTTTAGGTTGTGGCTTTTCTGAGACATGACATTTGGGGGACACCCAAGGATGAATGTGTGTAGGGGGGGTCGTTGACCAGGGTAAGGGGTTTTGGAGAGACAGCCACAGGAATTCACGGGGAGGTTGAAGGGGGGCAGAATTGAGTGTGCTTGTGGCCTCTTGAACACTCAGATTGTCTAACCATTCATCAAGTATTTATCTGTTGCTGCTACTCTGTGACAAGCAGCAATGGTTAAGCATCTGTGTGAGAGAAGGTACTTAATGGTGCCCTATTCAGGCGTGGGTCCAGCTTTCATAAGAGGGGGCATTAAATCAATGACTTCTTAAGTTGGATCGTTCCAGTTCAGACTGCAGGGAAGGATATGAAAGAAAAGAGGAAGAAATGCTGGAGTATGGGACATGGGCACCTGCTGAGGGCTGCGGTCAGTATGGGTCTTTCCTGGCCAGCTGGCATTTGGGCTGAGACCCAGAGCATGAAGAGGGATCAGCATGGGAATGCGGGAGGAAGAGAGTCCTATGCAGACAGCAAGTGCAAAGGTCCTGAGGCAGAACTAGCCTTGGGCTTTTAATCACAGGGTACGGGTGAACAGAATTGAGATGAGGGGTGACAGGAGCTCAATCTGGAAGAAGGTCTTTAAGTCCACAGTAAGGACTTTGGATACATCCTAAGTGTGATGTTGAAAGAGCTGTGTGTGTAGGGAGAGGAATGAGGAGGAGAGGGGTGGGGGGGCAGGATGAGGGGGAATGGGCATTTAAAAGAAGAGGATTGGTCGACTGATTTATATTTTTAAAAGCCTCTTCTGGCTTCTGGGTAGAGATGGTGGCATTCAGCCAGCGTCGGATCCAGGAGGAGCTTTTAAAAGTCAGGGCTAGAAAACCCAGCTGTAAGATTCAGAAACTAAACATCAGGTTTGGTGTGGAGGCCGCACAAGGATCAGGCAGGAGGGATGCATTGGTGGGTCAAGCTGATGTGCTCTGAAAACTGGCAAGTCTCCCTTGGTGTAGCTGGATGTGGCTGGGACCCTGGGAGAGGCTGGAATCCTGTCTGTAGAATGAGGACCGTTTGGTTCCAGAATAGGAAGGAACCTGGAAATGTGGCCCTGGGCAGAGAGGGATGAGGTGTGCTCCCCAGGAAATGGTATGTCAGTTGATTACATTTTTCCCATAAATTCCACAACAGTTGACCAAGCTCCTTCTGTCTGCCAGGGGCCGTGCTGGAATGAACAAGGCAGAAGCAAAATTTAGTGCTCGCATCCTGGTGAGAGAGACAAGAAACGCAGAGGCCGAGGGAAAAGGATTAAGTGAAGGAGGAACAGAGAAAGGCCA